TATACATAAATAATCACGCAACATAAGTTTAATTTTTTTTTTGTATAATAATTGACAATTCTATTATGTACCTTCTGGTCCAGAAGTTTTGGGTAACTCGATTAAATTACATTTCCAAGAAAAGTTTTCTTTTTTCAAAAGAATAAATATTCATAATTATTATAAAGATACTTAGATAAGTTTCTATCATAATAAGATTAAAAGATTGATTTTATGCACACTTTGCGATATCTCTAAACGTTCAAGTTCTAGTGATAACTTTATTGTCTTGTTGTGAATAGTTTTTAATCATTTAAAATGTTTATCAACTAAATAACTTTCCTAACTCTTGGTTCTTGCATTTTTGTGGCTGAGTTTCTGCTCAATTCTGATAAAATAATAAAACCAATGTGAAAAGGCTGAAATAGTTAAAAGTGAAGATCTCATGGCCAAGCCATTTTTTTTTAAATTAACTTTACTTTTAAATAAATTAAACAAAACTTTCATTTTCATTCCAGGTACGTTACAAGATATGATTGTAGACAAGTTTCACATAAGTGGTAAGAATCACTTCTTATTATTTTTTATTATTACATTTTCATATTGTTTCATAATGCAAAAAATTCGATTAGAAATTATCATAGTGTAATTGATTATGATACCGTACAGAAACTAAATAAATTTTCCCAGAAGCATACTAACCATTTCAGTATTTTTCCAAGTATTTTCTCTACTTAAATTTGCAAAATGTTTTCATACGTCGAAAGTTTTTGTACAAGAAACTTGGATGGTTTTCGTTTTTCGCTCTTTCTATTTGGCAAGTGTTTTTATGTCAAATTTTTCACATATTTGCGAACAGTAGTCATGAACCATGATTGAAGGAAAGCTTAAAATAAAATATTCATGAATATTGAAGCTATAGGCATTAGAAAATCTTAGTCACATAGAACATAGATAAAACAAAACGTGATATTATGCAAATGATTTTCCATAAAAAATTTAAATTCAAAATATCAAATTGATGTAATTTAAATATAAAAGAAGTTTAAATAATTCCAGATTGGAATATTAAAATATCCCAAAACAAACACTTTGTATTGATTTTGCTCAATATTGAAACAGAATGAAGCAACCTGTTCGATTTTTCATTGATTTTCTTCACAATTACTAATCTTTAATTTCCATCGCAAATTGATGTTTTCTTATATTCCAAAGCAACGTCATTTAAATATATTAAGAGGATGTTTTATGAAAAGCGGTGATGAGAAAATCAGTTAAAAGAAACATTAACGTTTCAACTCTCAATTCATGGAAAACACTCCACATATTTATTTACATTTCCATTTCGTACCATATTTAAAGTTAAAGCAAGAAGATTGAAGAATAAAATTCAATTTCTTTTTAATTTTTATACATAAAGGGATTTTATTTTAAATAAATATAAGGTTTGCGAGGAAAACATTTTATTCGAACTCTCTCAAATTGTCTGCAATTCGCAGTTGTTTGTGTTAGTAACTGGAAGCTTTTCTTTCCTTTTTAGTGTCTTTACACATTTTACTCTCTTCCTGAATTTCTAACGTTGCATGAAAGCAAAAGCAGAAATGTTTGCGTCAACAACACCACATTCAAAAATGAAAATAGAATTAAAATGAGAAAAATGTTTTCGAGTAAAGAAAAGTAAGGCGGTTTTGTCTACTGCTTCCACCGTTTGATTCGGTTTCTCACTCTGTTCAGTCACTTTTCTGAACCCGTTGTGTTTCCAACCAAAATTTATTTTTTTTCTTCCTTTTAACTGAAGACAAGAAAAATTAAAAGTGATACTACTTAATTATATGAATAAATTAATAAATGTGTTAATTGAAATCTGCTTCTTTGTTACAAATCATTCTCAATTTTCGATTCGTTCTCTTGACTCAAGAGTTTGGTGAAATTAAATAACAATAAAAACTTTTACTTAATATTCTTTCTTCTTAAAACGCTGATTTTTCGTGAAGTGTATGTGATTTTCATTTAAGAAGAGAAAGAACAGAGACATAAATTAAAGCAATAAATTATCGAAATTTATTTGTTTTTCTTTTAATGACCTTATGGTCTATCTCATTTGACATTGAAGAAAATATGTAATACAAAATGTTTTTATCAAATTACTCTGGTGTAATTAATTCACCTAACGACTAAAGTGCCATAAAAAGAAATGTCGAAAATAAAATTGCCCGTAGGAAAGCTGAAGTCGTCTCCGACCAGCAATATCAGTGGTGTGAAATTTTTTAAATCCTTTGCACCCAGCATCCGTAGACGACGACAATGTGATAAGGAAAAACTTGAAATTTATAATTTAGAAGCGAACAATGAAAACTTTAACGTACTGGATGGAATTCCTATATCCCCAATTACCCCTCCAGCTGCTTTTCTTCCAACCGGTTACAAGCGCATGGGTAAGTGAATCGCCCATCTAAATCGCGTATATCCTCAACTTTCCATTTATTGAACGTAACAAAAAAACAAAAATTTGAAATGCAGAAAGTCACCTCAATTGTCATTGAATGAAAAAAGCAACACGCGTGGGTGTAAGGGTGGATTAAGAAAAGAACATAAAACTTTCTTACTTCTTGTCGTGTTAAACAAGAAAAACATTTTCGCGAATCATTTATGCGTATCTGTTTCAGTCTATTCTCAATAAAACTATTTAAATGAAACTTTTGCTGGTTTTTCATACTTTTAACTGTTAACTAAAATTCACCGAGAAGAAAAATCAATTCAAGGTCCCAGTACATGCGCAGCATCACCGTAAATGTCTTTTCATGATTGTTTATTTTACAATGTGCGCTTTTTTGCCATATTTAAAATGAGACGATTTTGTTTTAAGTTTTAGTTTTCATTTTATTATCACCTGATGAGAAATTTTCGAAATGCAAAGTTCAATCTGAATGTTAATTAATAAGAAACAAAGTATTAATGTCTGAACAACTAAATTCGTCTGAATATGAATTTCCATTCTTTATGTAATTCATGATAATATACGAAAAAAATTCTATATAGAACAAGGATCAAAAAAGTTATCCAACCAGTGTCAATGACTTTTCATTCTGCAACAGAATAAAATCGATTTGTTTTCTCTTCTCTTGAAGAAAGTATCCAGATTAAATTCTTGTGCAGACAAGGAAAAATATTCGAACAATTCATGATAAGACATTGAATGTATGGCCAAGATGAAAACTTTCCTTGAAAAATTTTAAGACTGTGAGTCATGTTCATCAAAGCTCACGGTCACAAAGTAACCTTGGTGATCAAAAGAAGAAAGAAATAAATTGATACGCTTAGAACAGAAAATTGAGATATTTATAGAAATATTTTCTTCACGCTCATATGCAATAATGAAGCCATAAGAAATTAAATGTTTAGGAATGTCAACTCGATAAAACAATATTTTATCACGCAAATCGTTTCAAAATTTAACTATGCCATTACTGGGCTTAATATATGAGAAAAGTTTTGTCCTAATTAGTTTCTTATTCTATCTAAATCTTGTGAGCCTTTTCTATTTATTCTTTTAATTTCTCAGAAATAAATTATTTATAAAACTATATCAGGAAAATTAATTTAATAACTTCGGAGTATCAGAAAATTTCATTTATTTTATTCCTGATTTATTTTAATTATGTTGAACTTTAAATTTGCACATATTCAATTATAAACATGAAAAACGGTTTTTCATTTCATCTTAAACTTACAGACTGCAAGTTGAAGGAAAAACTTGAAATGTGTTTCGGTTTTTTTAAACGATTAAATTCTTATCCGTCGCAGAGTGACTCTTATTTTCGTTGGAATTTTTCCTTGTATCTATGATACATTTCAAAGTATTTATAATTCTCTCGTTTGCCTTTTAATTTAAATAAAATGATATTTTCGCGCCACAAAGAAATTTTGAGAATATTTATTAATAAATATCGCACACCGTGTGACTTTCGCGTAATGCTTCTTTTCGCTTACACGCCTATAAATCAGACAATTCCGTCAGTGAGTAATGAATGAAAATTGAAAACTATGCCGACGTATCATTAATGTTTGCGACATTCTGATGATTCTCGATTTTTTTATTATTTTTAACTTCACCTAATTAATATTCCTCATTTAGATCAAGAAATATTTTTCATCAAACCAAAACATACAAATTCACTTGTACTTATTTATCAATAATAATATAGACCTGCTCATTTATATAGTCTATGAAAATTGATACAAATCAGGAAACAAAGTATTAGTTTATGTTATAGAAATATTAATACTATAAAAGGAAAAATGTATTTCTGATTAAAATGAATGTTATCGTTGAAAGACGTTAATACTTCTTCTTGCTCAATTCTAAATAAATAATCATACATGATTGAAAGTTTGAGTAAGTTTCAATGAAAACAAAAACTTCTATAAAGTAATAAATATATGACGTGACTGTAAGCTTTAACACCTAACTTTTGTTGATATTTACTGTTTAGTCATAGAACATCAAAAACTTTCCGATGTCTAATAATGTTCAAGGATTTATTTAATTAATAGCTTAAATAGAGCATAAATGAAAATTTTCTTTATTTAACTGGCAACAAAATTTCAGTAATTATCCCTATGGAAAATTTCATTCATTATAAATTTCTGTAAGTCAATACTGGCAATATGAATTTTTTTAAAAAGGATTTGTAAAAAGCTACGAGAAAGTCCTTACAGTTCCTTTTATTATTATTATTATACAAAATTAACTGCCTGTCTACAAAATGATTAGCAGACATCTAAGAAGAAGAGGAAGATCGTATATAATTAAGTGTCCTTAATTTTCTCATTTCAAATGCTATCAAAGTAAAAAATATATTTCTGATTGAAACAAAACAAACGAAAATAAAAAATCTTAGCAGAAGAACATAGGAATTAAGTTTGCTAATTATTCGAAGCATTCCGAGCCTATTTTTAACATCGTGAAACACGAAGAAAGAAAAAAATCATTTTCCACGCCAAAAGAAAAAGAAATGATCTTGAACTTGTATCTTGAGCCGCTCTATATGCGTAGCTCACATGCTTCGTTCTGATGAGTAATAAGTAATTGAGTAGATAGTCAGTTGTTTCCGTTTTAACCGAATATTGCTTGTTTATAAAAATAATATTCCTTCTCTGCGACGTCATGTCGCAAGTTTCTGTTTAAACTATAAATAAACTTATCTGTTTTACTTAGACTAAGCGAGAACTAATTTCAGTTAATTACTTAAGATGACAAACATTAATGAAATTTAAAATTAGTAAAGCTTATTGCTCTAGAATTGTAACGTCAATTTTTAACGCTGAAAAGGATTCCGGAATTCGGTGTCGATGCACATATTAAAGTTCATTAATTCTTTTTTACACGATTTGGCACTCGCTTCAAATTTAGCTTTCTCAATTGTCCTAAAACGATTATTCTACTTCATTTAAATCTTTCAAAATATTCATTCGTACTAAGGAAAATATGAAAACAAAGCACAAAAGAAGCTCAGTCGTTACTCTCGTTCTAGAAATAGAAAGTTCTTAATTGCTTTCAAGAGAGACTAGCAAAAAATATTATTAATCAATGATTTAACGTGGATTGAAAGTTTCTTTTGATTCGTTTTTATTTTTTTGAATTCCTTCGATGTTTATCGTTTATAACATTGATGACATTAACGGTTAACCTTAAGGTTTATCCTTTACTTGATTTTTAAATACTGCATGCGCAACGTTATTGTAATACTTGAATAATACAGAGGATTACTCATTGTCTTCTAAAATACACGCTTAAAAACAATAAATACAGATACATATTTATATGAAAACTGTGAAATAAAAAGGGTTTGGTTGAATAAATTGTTCGACCTTCAGCATAATTACTATTTTCATTCATCTTTTTTTGTGGGCATTGCACTAGAAATGTCTACTTGTTTTCCCAATTTCTTTTAAATAATCTAACACGTGTATGGAGTTTTTGTTATCGTAAACATAGAAAAGCTTTATGATATTTAGACGAAAGAATGAAAACAAAGAAATCTATCAATATTCCCTCAAAGTAAAACAATAAAAATGACATTGAATGATATATTGCGATGAGTGATTTGCTTTCGTTTCTTATCATTTCTTTTGTAAGAAAAACGCTTCATGCCAATTTGAAATCAACGCTTAATCAGCGTTTAACAGTTCAAAAGGAAAATTGCTTGAAACCATGAACAGCTCAGTCTTACAAACTGATAAATTTAATTTAGTTTATTTGCAATATCTATTTATTAGTTCGTGGGAACTAAAAAACGAATGAACAAAAATTTCGTGCTTGACACTTGTAACGCCAACATTTACAACTTTTGTCTCAAATTGATATTTGAATTTGAAGAAAGTATTTCAGAACGAGCGCTGTTGGTGTTCATAAAAATTAAAGCTTAATGTAATTTTCATTACGGATGAGAAAAGGCTTTGACTTCATACCCGATTTAAGTAAAAAATTTCTGATAAGAGTAAAATGTTTACGTCTCTTAATTCAAAGACTCAATAGGGGTTTTATGGAGCAGACTAAAAGTTGAGAATTAGCAGATGCTTCAGAAACAAAATGAATTACCCTTAGAAAGTTTGTTATTCCTATTTTTTGTTGTTATACCAAACAATCCTTCATTTCTTGATGACGATTCATAAATCAATATTTCGGATTTTATGGAAGTGAATTTTTCCGATATATATTGATGAAAGTTTTTATTTGTTTTTCCTGGAATATTTTCCATTTATTTATTTTACTTATGAAATACTTAAATCTTTTATTTGAGAGAGACGCAGGAAACATCTTGTGTATACACAACACTATTGTAAAAAAACTAAATTAACGTCATAGATATTTAATTTCTAGTTTTCTTATTCTTACCAATTTCATGATTATTTCACTCAGAACCGAGAAAAGAAAAGACTGAAAGTAGTAATGGCAACAGTAATGCGCTATCGCCACAAGAACATCAACATCAACAGTCAAATCTACATATGATGACACAGGACCGAAGTGGAATGGCAGTCGAACCAGTAATAAAACCAGAAAGGCCAAATTCACTTGGACCAAAATTATCGAAACGTATTAACTTTTATCATGATAACTGTAAGAATTTGTTTTACTTATAATAAACACAAATATTTTATTTTCAAATAAAAATTTCCACCAACAGATCAAGATAATCAAAAGAAGATGCCTGACAGTCCGCTGCAATCAAATAATAATATCATCAGCAATAGCCAAATGTCGCATCAGCATCATCATCAACAACTTCAACAGCAGCTTCAACAGCATTTGAATAGTGGATATATGTCGAATGGTATGTCAGGTTCTGGAGTGGGTGGAAGTGGCAATTATGTCGGTAACAATGTTATGTTATCCGAGTTGCCAGAACCACCCATGTCAGTATCGGAAATTGGTCCAATTCCCCCTCCGCCAATGTTCTCTACACCGAGCCCAACAATGGTTGCGGGACGTCCACATGGCCCAGGCGTTCATGGAATGAGTAATCATGATTATGACTATGATGGTTAGCTCTAGTTTTATTAAAATTACCATCAATTAGTTATTTACTCTTTTAATTTTTCGTAGATGAAGATCAAGATGAACTCGATTCGGATGATGAGTACTATTCCAATCAAAACATTGACACTTCGAGAATTGACGAGATACCGGCAAAAGAGCCAAAATTTAATGCCGTGCCATTGAAATCAGCTTTAAAGAAGAAATCATCAAACCCTGGTACGCCGACACAAGAAGGAAGTCGGACACTACTTGAACGTCAAGCTAATTCTTCATTTAAGTAAGTGTGGGAATATTTAAATTATTATTGATGAAACATTTTTATTAACATATAAAGAGTAGAAATCTAGAATGTAAATCATATAATGAATTTGTCATCATGACGTAGGAGGAAGCTTAAAAGATCTTCTATTTTCCATTTCTGGAGCTTGTTCTATTTCTAATTAATCTTCATTAAAAAATGCTTCCTTCTCTCCATCATCTTCAAGCTGTGGAATAATTATTATATTTTCATATCTCCGTTTCATTCCATTACATTTACAATGTTGAAATCTGTTAAGTTTAAATTTGTAATGCAAAAAAGGAAACTAAATTTAAACAAACAAACCTTATTCGTGTGTTTTAGGCCAATTCTGCGACCGCGGATTCGTATATGGTAAAGAAAAAATTTTAATACACTTTTTACATTTTTGATTTTTTTTCTTGCTTATGCAAATGCGTGGGAAGCAAAAGCATAAATTTTGAATTAATAAGATGAAACTTTTGCCAACTCACGTACATGCGTTAGCGAACATAGAATGTTTTGAGTATTTAGTGAGTAACTTTTAGCACTAGTTTGAAGTATCAAATGTTTTTTTACTTCTTTATTTCTAAATTTAACTACTATCTAATAAAAAAACATAAATAACCACCTAATGAAATTTAAAAAATCAAAGTATAATTAAGATTATTATTTTTTTGATACCATAATGATATTTGAATGGCTAAATTTTTAACGTTGATAACAATGAATGCTGATTTTTGTTATCTTTTTATATTATTTATTATACTTATAACCTTACGTAAATCAAAAGTTTCTTCAAATAATTTAAATCCTTTTAACACAAATTGGCCAATTCTCATCTACAGAGTATGAAAGGAGTCCAAATTGAAAATATTTTATTATTTAGTCTTAAATACTTTCTTATACTTACTTGCCTTATTAGTGAAATTGACATTTTTGTTAAATTTATTTTTTAAATAATGACTTTTGATTACAATTATTTCTTTTTTTATATAAAACTAAGTAGTGCTCTTTATTGTTTTAGAGTTCAAATTAGGATGCAATTAATATGTAAACATTACTCTTGACATGTAGAAAAAATATTTTGTTCAACGCACTTAACAGTTTTCTAAACTAAAAAAACTAAATAGTATAAACAAAATATTTATCTACATGTAAAGAAATTAATTTTTTAATTTATAGTTTCGAAGTTTACTTCTTAATTTGATAACAAAATTATAAAAATCTAAAAAATGTTGTAATTGTTTTTTTGAATCTTACTAACTTGCAGTTCACGTCCTATTCGATTCGGTATTGGATTACCATGCACACTAGAAAACAAGGAGAATGCAAGACCGTATGGCGCTTCGAATGAATCTGCTGGTACATCGAATGACGATGATGACAGCGATTCAAATGATGGTCCTATATTATACCGTGACGACCCTGTGGGCACAGATCGTGCAGCAAAAATAGCTAGAAAAGAAAGTTTATCTTTGAAGCTTGCATTAAGACCGGATCGTCAGGAGCTTATCAATCGAAATATCTTGAGATTACAAACAGAAAATGATCAACAAGAGACGAAAGAAGCAATTGGAGCTCGATTGATTCGAAGACTTTCCATGCGTCCCACAGCTGAAGAACTTGTTGAACGGAACATATTAAAAAGTAAGTAAATTTGCAATCGAGTTCAAAATTATATTCTTCATGACAATTTAATTTTAGTCCAAACACCAGAAGAACAAAAGAAATCCAAAGAAGAGAAGAAAAGCTATTTGTTAAGAAAACTAAGCTTCCGCCCAACAGTCGAAGAACTTAAAGAAAAGAAAATAATTCGGTTTAATGATTATATTGAAGTTACACAAGCTCAAGACTATGATCGACGAGCTGATAAGCCATGGACACGACTTACACCGAAAGACAAGGCTGCAATTCGCAAGGAACTAAATGAATTTAAAAGCTCAGAAATGGCTGTTCACGAAGGAAGCCGTCATTTGACAAGGTAGACATTATTTCTTTCCCTCCTTTATAGAAAAAAGAAATTTCTATTCTATTCTTCGAGAAATGAATTCATCTTACACAGAATTCTAAAAATAAACATTTCTCTTTCAATTTAAGGTTTCATAGGCCATGACAACTGAATCGTGAATTCAATGGTTTCATCTTTACTATGTACATGATTCAATTTGCTATTGAGATATTTGCATTGCAACTTAATAATGAGTTCATAATGACGATGACTGTTTTTGCAACTTCCGCTATAAAATTATTTAGTGACAAAAATCATGAAGAAACAGTAAAATTAAAAAAAAGAAAAGCATATATACTGTGATAATGTTGAAGTTATTATAGGACGATGTTACCCTTTCCTTCCCATTTCATCCTTCAATATCTCACCCAAGAAGGGTGAATGATGGCATTTTACATTAAAATTAATTAATCAATTTTCAAATAACGCGAAAGCAGATTGCATACAACATACTTATTGGTTTTTGTGTTCCTTCAAATAAATGCTTTGTTTAATCAAATGAAAAGAGGGAGAATTAAAACAATATACATATAATCCTTTTCTAGCATTCGATAGTAACTTTTCAATGAGTAAAATAATGCTGAGCAAGGGCTGTTTATACTAATGTCTGCATACATATATTTTTCCACGAAACAACTTAATCTGCTTTGAATTTTGGAAGAAGGAAATAAAAATCGTTTGAGAAATGTTTCACCCATCATATTCATAAAGCATAATAAAAATATATTAAATAAATATTCAAAAATAATACATTGTTCTAGATGATCGGGATGATTTTTACATGAAAATCAGTCAGTCACACTCAATATTGAGATACAAAACAAACTGAATGAAATGTTTCAGTTCTTAAATAATAAAGACAAATGAAGGGATGAAAAAGAATTATTATAAAGCAATTTATGTGTGGAAAAGGAGTTTACATTTTTTTTTGGTTTGTTTGTTTAACAACATATGACCATTGAATCATTAAATATTCAATAATGTTTTCACTTTAAAAATATGAAGATTCAAATAAAGCGTCTTTAAATTTGCATTCTTATTTATAAATTTATGTTTTGTGAAAAATATAAAGTTAAATGTTTTAAAAAACAATTCACTTCATATACATATCGGATTGTATGCTTTTGAATTTCCATTTGTTTCAATAATTGTTTTCTTTTTATTTTTGTATGTAGTAATTTAAATTTTTTAAGTTATGCTCACGATCAAAACTGTTTAATTCAAAAACTTTAGTTACGTCCATGAAGATTTTTCCAAAAATTCGCTTATTATCACAATACTTTCAATTGTGCAATTTTCAATGAAAAAAATGTTTTCAATGCTTGAAGCAATAATCTTTCTTAGATATTTCAACTTTTCTTTCCATGTCAAGATCAACTTATAAAAAAAGTCTGTTACCGAAAGNCCATTGCATTTTTGTTTCAAACGAATATTCGACGAAAACAGCCACAGAACAATTTCTAATAATTTATTGTTAATGAAGTAAACATTGTGAGTAATGATAATCATTTCAGTTTAATAGATATTTTAAAATCTTAGCAATTAAGTTTATTCTAAGGAAAAGTTGAAAAAATGTTCTTTTTTTAATGCAAGACAAGAAATAATAATATCTAATAATTATCATAAAAAAATTTAATCAAAAGAAAGGAAGGAAAAAAAGGTAAATTATAAATAAACAAGAAAGTTCAATAAAAACAAATATCCATAAATAAGTATAACTGCAATTTGCAGTGTTTTATTTGCATAAAATTCATTGGTTGTGTTCATATGTAGCATGTCGGTTCCTGTTTGAGAAAATTAAAGAATAATTGGAAAATGAATCTGAAATTGATTAAAGATGAAGAAGGAAGATTATGCAAAACTAATTACCTTATATTAATTAATATTTTTTCATAAATGAAAGGAATAAAACGCGTTTGAATATTAGTAAAATAGAAAGAAATACTCCGCTAAATAAATTTGATAATTAAAAGAATTATTGAAAAGTAAATGCATAAACAATAAAAAAAATTATTGAATGTATGTTTCATAACGGTTTTAATAAATGAAANCAATTCTAGGGTAAGTAACAAATATTTTTCTCCTCAAACTTTTCAGAGTGGATTCCCATCCGGAAAATTTACTTTTTTTCTCGAAAATGAAACAAATTTATTTATATTAAAAAAGAATTAAAGAAATCTATTTCAGATATTTTCTTAGATCTACATACTTGTCATTAAATATCCTATGACAACAGCAACAACTGCCGAAATTACAATCAAGATATAAACAACATTCTTATTTGACTTTTCTTCTTCAATAAATCTCGGCTTTCTTTCTCGGTGTTTTCTGCCGCCAATTTTCTTTTCATATGCTTCAAGTTCCTGTCTGTTTCTCTCAGCTTCCAACTCTTCCTGTTTTTTTCGCTCAATATCTTTCAATTCTTCAGCTTTCTTTCTTTTCTCCTCACAAGTTTCGTCGCATGGAAGAATGTGAAGCTTTTCGGCTCTTACTTTGTCACATGTTGTTTCAATTTTCCTTGTTTTGCATTCACATATTAGTTTAACTTTTTTCTTGCAAAATTCTTCATCGGGACATTCTCCATTATGACAAACAGCAACACATTGATGACCACAAGAATACTGTGAAAATAATTTTTTAAGTGAAAAAATGTTGAAGAATTATTTAATAGTTAGAAACTTACATTTTTAATACATCTCAAGCCACACGATAAATATTTAGCTTTCAAATTATCGATTTCATCGTTATTCAAACCCTTTTTAAAAACATCACAGCAACGAAAATAAGCATCATTCAATCCACAGAAACATTTTGTTTTGACTTGAATGCGGCATTTCTTGCAAGCGTTTGGATGACATGGATTTTGACATGGGTGCGGGCAAAATCTCTCGAACTCGCATGGCTTGTCACAATCTTCACAATTTGCATCTTGATTTTCACTCTTTGGTTCGTTTACTGAATGGCAATTTAACTGACAAAAATGATTTCCACATTCCAATTTTCGGTTGCAGGATCTGCCACAAGAAAAGACTTTTGCTTCGTGACACTTCATATGTACAATTTCGTGACCTCCAAGGCACTCAAGTTGGACTTTTGTAAAACATTGCGGATGATCAATTTTCTTCATCTCCACTATCTGCTCAGCAATTTCACCAGGAAGTTTTGGGATAAAACTTTTATCTTTTTTAACGACTTTAACAAAGTCATGACAGTTTGCTAAACATTTATGCGAGCACGGTAGAAGTTCATCGCAAGTTTGTGTACATGGTGGACACTCGCCAAAATGACATTTATGTGGTGAAGGATCGTGATGACACTTTGAAGGTAACTTACAGGTTTCTCGACATTTTGGAATTCGATTCTTTCGTCCACAGACTACAGAAACACTTGTGGCTCCACATCGACATTTTATCTGTTTTTTAATTGAACATGGATAGCAATTCCCACCATGACATAAAGCATTGCATTTATGTTTACCGCAAGAAAGTGTTTTTGAGCATATTCTATCGCATGGCAAACACTCAACGCAACATTTACGATTGCAATTATGCTTTTTACAGCTTTTGATGTTCTTACATTTAGTCTCGCATAAAAGTTCTTTCGAGCACGGATATTTCTTCGTTATTGCACCACAACGACAATTTTTCTCGATTAATTCCTGTAAAAAAAATTCAAATTAGAAATTGAAGCATTTAAGTAAAAAACTGAGTAACAAACCTTGCAAGTGTCGCATTCTCCTTTATGACATCTCATATAACACAAATGTTTCGGATTACCACAAGCAAGAGGCTTTAAACAAGTATCGCCACATGATTCTATTGTGAAATTCCCGCAACTTTCCGATATGAATGATTGTTTACCACAAAAGCATGAACGTTTCAATCCATAAATGCAAGAGCCGCAGTCACCTTCATGACACTTTTTTTCACAAAGATGAACATCGCAAGATAGAATTTTCTTGCACACTTTCTGACAGCTCCAAAATTCCTGCTTACATTTGATTTCTTTTGAACTACCGCGACATAAGCAAAATCTTACACTAGATTTATTGCATGGTGGACAAGTTTTATGACAAATCCCTCCACAATTGTGACCACAACTTAGTTTCTTTAAGCAAATGTTGTTACAACTCCAATATTGTTGAGAACAACGAATCGATTTTATTGGAGATTTCCCACATTCACAAGACTTTTGAAGAATTTGTGGGCAGGTTGGATGGGGTCCTGGGTGACATAATAAGTAACAAACATGTCCACATTGAGGATTATTTAATGGTCTACCGCAGACTTCACCACAAGAGTGTGGAATTAGAAATGGTTGTGGTAATGGATCGCGTTCCTTTCCGCAGTAACATTCGTAAACCCTCGGAATGTCAGTATACTGAAGACGACACTGAGGACAATCCCAATAAATAGAAGACTCTTTCCTAGGTATATACACACCCGCATTATTGTAATATCCCAAAGGTTGATTCTCAAAGTACAATCGCTTTTGGCTTATTGAGTCATTTGCCCACTTTTGAATACACAAAAGATGGAATGTGCAGTAACAGTTACTACAATTCCATATTTTACTGTCACTTCTCACTCTTCGAATACCTAAAATAAATAGTTTGATTCAATATAATTTAGGATGAGTTAAAAAAGGAATGTCATCAACTACATACATATTAAACAGTCTACTTCTCCATTCTCCACAAGTTCCACGATTCTGGAAACGTCATTCTTATTCCCATCATAATTTTGGAAAAGTTTCTCTGTAATTACAACTTTATCATAGCTTTCTTCGTCATCTTCTGATTCCGATTCTTCTAGTAAAACTTTCTTCAGACTGATTTCCCTTGTTGATGATATTTTCGATGACATGTCGTCAACTTGCAAATATTTGTAGAAATTGTTATTTCAATTAAAATTAAAGGTGGTTTCCGATATTCCCTTTTCAGTCTAACATTTATTTCAATAGATTTATTTTTGTATTCATTTTTAATGACGTTTATTACCTGTCTAGATAAATGGATGTTAAATATTGTTTTTCCATACACTTAAAAGAAGGTTTGCTAAACTATTTGTTTTTGAAAATTAAATAACCGTTAAAATTATACAAAATTTTAGCTTAGATAACTTCAATAACGTGTAAGTTAGTGAAATCTACAAATCATATTGTAACTTACAATAAATCTTTATAAGGAAAATTGGAAAGATTTGCATTTTATTGTTGAAAAAGAATGTTGGATTGTCTGATTAAGCTTATAAAATTCAACATATTTGCATATAAAAAGTGAGACGTTAACAGATCTTAGCATAAATACTGATGAGGTTTTTCATGAATATTTAGGATGTGCAAAGTTTGAATGACACCCAAAGATGGACAAAGATCCAAACATCAAAAATTTGTATTTTTTAGAAATTTAGAGACTTTTTTTAGAGCTTTATGTATAAGAATTAACATGGAATTATAATTAGATATTTTATGATATTTCCTTCTGAAGCATCTTTGACATTTTCTTCTACGTTAAAATTTTTTATAAGAATTCAATGAAATCGTGTTTTTGACAAATTACTTATTTAAAAAAATTCTTAATCGCTTGCTCTCTCGTGTCTAATGTTGCTGAACGCATTTGAAACTATAAATTTTTCGTCTCGTAATCTGTTTACTTTTAGATCATAAATCATTCTTTACTAATTTATGAGATGTTGTCTTCTACGAACATAAGAATGAGCACGAATGAAATGCAATGTTGCAATAGATAGATCTACTATTTTTTAAAATAGATTTATGACTTAAATGTCACATTAACTCGGAAGCGGTAGTTAGAAAAGTCTGGCACAGTTCCAAAAGAATAATATTAAATGTAAACAACGTCTTAAGCCCATCGAGATGTGTCAAAATAAGACTATAAATCGTTAGAAGTATGAAAATAAAAGTGCATTCGTTTAGCAAGAATAGACGATTTTTTAAAATTTATGGATACTTATTTGTTACTTCATACAAACTTCTTTGGCGCGATACCTAATTGTTAAATACAATCATTTTATCTCGCAATAATTGTTATGTTTTTCTAAAAAGCAACAAATTTAAATGACTTTTTATTTTCTAATTTGTAATCTTTGACTTTAATAGCAGCTTCAGGCAAATGCATTACATAAATGTCAACCAAAATATGATAGTTGCTACATGAGAGAAAAAAAAAGACAATAATATTATCATTGTTATCTATTTTGAAGTTTCAAAAATGCAACAAAAAGCTTTTTCATGACGCATCTTACAATATAAACTTTTCAAAATTTATAATTTTTTTCTTTTCTATCTATTTAAAACATCACGATTCTTTTAAAAAACATAAATATGCAAGCAACATAAAAATATCATATTTCACATCTTAACGAAAATATATTTTTGTATGTATTGTGAGTTGTGCGGCTTATGGAGGAAGAAAAAAAAAATCAGTGTTTTGTGTTGCTTAAGGAATAATGGACGTTGAAATTTCATCGAAGTGTATTTGAATTTAATTTAAAGGAATATTGACAGAACCATTTGAACTTATCATCATTATGAACAAAACATTGTGTTGTATTTGAGATAATCATTAAAATTAATTCGTTTTCAACAATTTGTTACTTAAAAGTTTGTTTTAGTACAAATTGTTTTGAATTGCTTACACATTTCTTCAAAACACAAATAAAAATCTTTCATGCAATTTTTTTCGTGAAACCGAAAGAATGAATTATATAAAAAAGGAGTAGTGCACTTGATTCAAGCAACAATTTGTCAACTTCTACTTGCGAACAAAATATTACAATAGTCCCCAAGGTAAGCTGGTTTCTAGAAATACAAAGATAAACTACATATTCGAGCTACCCATATGCGCTAAAACTCATATCTTACCATTAGAAAATTAAAGCGATTTAGTCACGAAGCCCATGAAGATATGCATATGTAAAGCAATGTATACAAAAATTCGTCACATCATGTTTTTCTTCTACTTTTTATATTTCTCGGTCTTTCCCTCATTTAAAAGTTCAATACTCATTCAAAATTCTTTGATTTACACATAACATTTTGAAACAAGTTTCTCAAATCATTTTTCAAATCTTATTCACTTATCTTCCATTAAAAACGTGAAAATATTTAGAAATTTATTTTTTAATCTCTTTAAGAAAAGAAGGTTCTTGATTTAATTTTACGAAACATAAAATGTTTTACTTTATATTTTTGAAACATTTTTAATAAATTCTACATCATTGATAAGTATTTTTCTAATGAAAATAATCATAATTATAATTTTAATGATAAGATAAAATGAAACAATAAAACATTCTACTGAAATGATAGATCAGTTAGAAGGTGTTGACTGATAAGCTTCAAAATGAAACAAAACCACAGACAACAACTTTACAAATTGAAAGATCTTGATTTATTAACTAAATGATCATACTATTCTTCTATTTAAGAGGTGTGACTAGCCTTTACATTTTAATTTCCCTTTCCTTCCTGATTGAGTTCACTTAGTCAGAACATATTCGAATGAAAAACCTTATCATGTTTAGCAATCATAAAAGTTTTGTTAGTGACACAATCAGTCAACACATTACTATGTATAGCAAAATTATTTGGTAGACAGTTTGGCTCTTGAATCAAGTAAATAAAATAATTTTCCTACAAATGCTTCGCATTGTAGCGATAAATCATTTTATTGAGAAAGATTCATAGAAAAAAAAAGATTTTTAAGAAGTGAATTTTTAAAAATTAATTTTTTTTGTGATAAAATCTTTTAATAATTTTATCTAATAAATGTTTTCATTTTTCTGTTTCAGAGATAAAATAAATGTTTGAAGAGTGTTGAATGTGTGTGTAGAAACGATGTCGTAAGAAACATAACGAAATAGATGTGTGGGAGAGGAGTCTGCGGCTTATGCAGTCGACTTTCGTTAAATTTTTATTCTTTTGTAAATTTGTGAAACGATATGGACGTATAGTGTTTCGTGTGAATAATTTTCAAGATTTATTAGTGAAAAAGGATGCTAATTGAAAAGAAAGCGATTAATATTTGCGAATAATGTGATAAATTAATAAGTGAAAGATAAAAAGTGTGAATATTTGCACTTCAAAGGTCATTAATATGAATTTGTTTTCAATGTAAATAAGGAAAAAAAAGTGCTCAAAAAACTGAAAATACATATAAAAGTAGATTCACTAAAAACAAATTTAAACAATGAAGCCGAGGATTTGTCAACTGAGGCTCGCTTCATTAGGACTTTTCCTGCTTTCATGGATACTTCTTATTTCAAGCATTAACGCCAGTCAAGGTAAGTTTATATCTTATCCCGAAATACACTTAGAAAGCAGTATGTAAATGTTCGTAATGTTTATGAGACATTCACACATTTCATATTCGTTCGCTTTGTGAATGAGGAATGAAGTGAGAAGGAAATGAAGAAGAGAAATACTGAAAACATACACAGCAGATGATAGAAGAATAAGGGAGAATTTAAAAAAAATCAATCAAAGTAATGAACACCAAATGTTTTTTCATGTTAGAAATGCTCATTTATGCTTCTCCTTCTAGAGTTATTGGCATGTCAAATGTACAACTCTCTTTGAAAATTTTAAGTGAAGGAATAAATAAGATCGTGATTTAAAACTTTTCATCAACTTTTTCTTAAAAGTTATTCCTTGAACTTTATTTAATTAAAATTTAAAAAAATGATAATTAATTCGAAGTTCGCATGTCTCTTAAAGAAAAAAAATTGAAAACATGTTACAGATACATATAGAACATCTAATATTTATATCTTCTTCTCATCTCACCTCTTCTTGTGCTTTAGTAACATAAGTTTATGTGAAGTATTCAAAGAGTTTCACAAGCAAAGAAAACTATCAATTAATTCAACGAATACAATATTGGGCAATCACATAAAAATTTTCAACTTCCTTTTTTCGATTAATTCAAGTTTCACACCTCAAACAAAATGAATCAATGTGACTTGTAAAACTTTTCCAATCAATTCTAAAAATATTAATTTAAGATAAGAGTAACTTTAATTCTTATTAGAGTATAATTATGATAACGGAGATCTTGTTATTTCTTCATTTAAATCAAGCTTGTACTAGATTGCCCTTAAAGTCCATTTGATGTACACAATTATAAATTGAAGTAAAAATCGTGTAAGAAATTAATTAAAAATTAAAATTTTACCTGTGAACATTCCACCTATTTCTAAATTTCCGTCAAATTTATTAATGTAAATATTTCACTTGAAATTGTGAGGAAAACTAAGGAATATCTGTTTATGATTATTTCATTTATTTATATGTATGGACATACTTGAACTTTTCCATATCATGATTGAGTATTATAAGAAGTATTTAATACTGTCAGTTCACATGGTATGGGTTTGAAGAACTTTTCCACTTTTCTGCTAAGTACATACTTAAAAAAGGTACAAAAACATAAAACACATAATAAAATGAAAAATGGCTTCATTAGAATACATTTTTACACATAAATACCTATTTACAATTTGTATCATCAATGATGAATTTCAATGCCAATTTTCTTTCTTTTTTGTTCTGGAAAAGATTCAGAAACAACGTGAATTTATTTCTGATAAACGAAAATAAATCAAAACATAAAGCAAATCACCAAAATCAAAACATTATTTCAAAAAAATAATGTTTCTCCTTCTTTATATTCTCATGCATAAATAGCTTTAGAATTTACAATAGAGCCTTCAGACATAGTTGCTCCAGAAGGAAATTCAGTTCTTTTGCAATGTGCTGGACGGTCAAATAAAAAGATTGGTCATTTAAAAGATGGGAAAATATCCCCAAACATAAGATGGCGGGGACCGGATGGACAAGATATCGGCATCGACACCTTCAGAGTTCAGTTAACAAATGGATCTCTTTATATAAGTGCTGTAAATGAAAATAGAGGCTTGACCGGAGCTTACCAATGCTTATTGCACGTTGATGGCATTGGGACGATCGTCAGTCGAACAGCCAAATTATCAATTGCAGGTAAATAAAAATAATAATTTCAGCACTAAAAGATCGAAAATTTATTCAGAAAATTTTTTACCTCAGCAAAACCTCAAGTAAATCAAGAATCGAACGAAATTTATCTTTATCTTGGACAAACGGCTTATTTTAAATGCATCTCTAGTCAAAGTTTAATGAACATTAACGATAAGAATTATAAGATTCAGTGGCTGAAGGACGACATGCCACTACGTTTTGATAACACGCGCATGATAATTCTGCCAACGGGATCGTTGGAGATCGACGAGATAATAAGTCAAGACCGCGGCTCTTATCAATGTAATATTTCGTATGAAAATTTCTCACGAATCAGCAGTAAAACCAACTTGAACATTAAATCGCCATCTGGAAATCCAGAAAATTTTGCACCTCCTAATTTTGTTATCGTGCCATCAACGCAAACCGTAAAAGAGGGTGAAAAAGTGATTCTTGATTGCGCAGCAAATGGAAATCCAAAACCCAAAATGACATGGCTTCGAAACGGCGAAGAGATTGATTTCAAGTAATTTTTTGCTTTCCCTTGCAATTTAAACAAAATTTCTTAAGAAATCTTTTTTTATACAGTGACTTAGATTCACGATTCAGAATTATTGGAACAGGTTCATTACAAGTTTTATCAGTAGAAGATGGAGACAGTGGAGATTATCAATGTCGAGCTAGTAATACTGTCGACTCTCTCGATGCTTCAGCGACACTCAATATTCATATTCCTCCGAAATTCATTCAAGCGCCTACCGATAGAAAAGCAAACGAGAAGGATGAATTAGAACTTCCTTGTGCCATACATGGCAAGCCTTTTCCTCAAATAAAATGGCTGAAAAATGGAGATTTAATCACACCTAATGACTACATGCAAATCATTAATGGGTAAATTCGACTGATTGTTTATTTTTATTTTATGTTTAAGTATTACTTATTTAATTGTCAGGCACAACCTTAAAATTCTCGGACTAATAAGTTCCGATTCGGGAATGTTTCAATGCATTGGAATGAACGATGTCGGTAGCGTTCAAGCGTCAGCATTTCTAGAAGTCATGCCATTAGGTAAGATTCACTCTTTTATCGCTCTTTTGTTTTCGTTCAACCTTGAGTTAATTTTATTTTTTGATTTTTTTTCTTTTATTTCTTCTTGGTTTGCATGTTATGCTCTTCAATCATCATTTTTTTAATTATTTTTCGTTTCACCTTCATTTTATGAACCGTGAATGAGAAAGGTTCAAGAAAACATAAACAGAAAAAACTTTTATCCATTTTAACAACGACAACTTCAACTACTAAAATTCCAACAAAGCCGAATTTAAAAAACTTTGTGAAAAAAACGCAAAAGTTCGATGAGGGTTCTTACAAGAATTCAAAACATTTTTCAAAACAAGCACTCGACAGTTTACTTTCTAACAACAAAAATGCACAATTTTCTCCAAGTCGAATTCAAGACTCGAGTGATTATTTGGAGAGGTTGAATGACAATCAGCAATCGGAGCCTGATGACAATGATGAAGATTACGAAGAAGACGACGATGAAGGGACAATTCATCCAATCAGCTCCGACATTGACCCCAACGTTCTTTTACATACTTTAACACACTCGAAACATCATCAGTCGTTTTCAGATGATATTTCTCACTTTTCTAACTCTCGCATTATTCCCGTTACACGAAAAATCTCTCATTTAGAGGATAGCAGTCATTTGTCAGTGCCATTACCAGGACCACCACGTGTTGTTCAAGCGGCAATCATCAAGCCAAGATTCGTTACACTGACATGGCAAGAACCTTTCGAGAATCCTGATGAAGTTATTTCTTACACCGTTTACTACAAAATGAATAATAACGATGCCAGGTATAAAATTAGTTAACGATTTATTAACAAATTAAAATTCTCATTTAAATAATAGAGAACGGAAGATCAACACATTATCACGAGATGAACAAGAAGTGAATTTACAATCTTTACTGCCTGGAAAGACTTATCATGTTCGTGTTGTTAGTAACAGTAATCATGGTCAAGGAAAATCTTCAGAAATTCTTGAATTTTCAACACAACCTGAAGAGAATATCGCTGGTGCTCCGGAAAATTTCCAAGCTGCTGCAATATCACACCACGAGATTTATTTAAAATGGGATCCACCAAAAATAAGCAATGGCGTTATATCAAAATATCGCGTTTTCTTTGCTGAAGGAGAAAATAGTGAAGATCAACATTCAGATACGCCAACAACCGAGTTTATGTTAACACAACTTCGACCATACTCCGAGTACACTGTCTCGGTTGTTGCGATCAATCAGAATGGAATTGGCAATCCAACTGAAGAAAAGCTAGTTAAAACATTCTCAAACATTCCTTCAGAACATCCAAAAAATATTTCATTGGAGGCATCAAGTTCACAAGTAAAATCTTTTCTTACCTGCAAAAATCTTTTTCTTTAATTTGTTTCATTCATTTCAGTCAATCATCATTCGATGGGAACCGCCACCAGAAGAAGAACGAAATGGACCACTCACTGGTTATAAAATAAAGTACAGAAAGGTTAAAAAGTCTGGAGTGCAAATAGAAACGACACCGGGAAATGTCAAATTCTTTGAACTTAAAAATTTAGATCGTATGACTGGTTATCAAATTAAAATAGCAGCAATGACAGTCAATGGAACTGGGCCTTTCACTGAATGGCAAAGTATTGAAACTTATGAAAACGACTTGGATGAATCTCAAGTACCTGGAGAACCTGGTTGGATTCGAACAAAACCATCAGCTGACACAATAATCGTCACTTGGGGTCCACCAGTGCAACAAGATATCAAAGTGCGCGCTTATATACTCGGTTGGGGAAAAGGCTTTCCAGATGAAGTTACACATGAGCTTGATGAGAACAGTCGAAGCTATGAGATTCGTGAACTTGAGCCAAACAGTGAATATGTGATTGCATTACGTGCTCGGAATAATATCGGAGATGGACCCCCAAAATATGACACGACAAGAACTCGTGAAGATATTTTAACAGAATTTTCATTGCCTTTAGAAGTTCCAGTTGGTTTAAGGGCAATTCCAATGAGTGGAAGTTCGATTGTTGTTTATTGGACCGATACGACTCTGGGTAAAAGTCAACATGTGAAAGATAATCGATTTTATACTGTTCGTTACAGTACCACTGGTTCAACTCGCTATAGATATCACAACACAACTGATCTCAATTGCATGATCAGTGAATTAAAGCCCAACACTCAATATGAGTTTGAAGTGAAAGTTGTGAAAGGGCGACGAGAAAGTTTGTGGTCAATGTCGGTTCTTAATTCGACAATGTCTGCTGCACCTGCATCACCCCCAAGAGATTTAAATGTCAAGAGTTTAGATGATAAGACGCCATTAAGTGTCTTCTTAAATTGGCAACCACCAAAGCATTCAACAGGTCCGATAACGAATTATGTTATTCTCTACACAACAGACTCCGATAAGCGTGATCGTGAATGGCAATCAGAGAATGTCCCTGCTGATAAGACATCTGTAATCATAAATCAACTAAAACCACACACGACTTATTACTTCAAAGTTCAATCAAAACATGGAAAGAATTTTGGACCATTTTCAGCAATGGTGTCGCATACAACAGGAACAGAAGCTGTTGGATCAAGCATCATGTCAAAAAATTCAAATGTTCTTCTGACAACTGAAATATTCTACGCATTATTTGGAGGAATTGTCCTCTTGATGGTCATCATTGTCATTGTAGCTTTGGTTATTTGTTGTAGACGAAAGCCTCAAGAAACACCGGAACATAAGAAAAGCTACCAGAAGAACAATGCTGGCATCATTAAGCCACCAGATCTGTGGATTCATCATGAACAAATGGAACTTAAGAACATTGATAAGATCAATATTCACCAAACGACACCAGGTTGCAGCGATGGAGCATCAAGCAGTGGAGTTATGACTCTCCCTAGATCAATTGGACATGACTTTGACAACGACTCACAATTTCCAACTCAAGTTACAAATTCCTTAGATAAACGCACTTATGTTCCTGGATATATGAGTAAGTATCACTTTTACGCTCAAAAGGCTTGCATACATTTACATTTCCATATTTTTTTCAATCATAGCGAATTCCATGAGCTCATCTGCCTCAGATCGTCCAAATTATCCCCGAACTCAATACAATATTCCAAGATCTCATATGTCGACAATCGATCCTTCATCATCACAACAAAATATTCAAAATGGGTCAATGATTCATTCACCTGAAAATCCTTACGCTTATGATGTTGTCCCAACTAATTATAGGTAAATATTTTGTATGATTAAGAAACATTTTCGCTTTGAAACTAAAGAATTTCTTTGTTTGTAACAACAGCAATCCAAACATGACATTCACACAAGGTCTTGATATGGCCAAACACAGAGGGCATCCGTTGAAAAGTTTTAGCATCCCTGCACCTCCTTCAAATACTCCAATGATTCCTATCAACAAATCTGGTAAAATTTTGTTATTTTTATACAAAAAATTGTTCTAATTATTCTCCATTTGATACTCAGGTCCATCAGTGACAGTGATACGACCACAAAATCAATCACCATATAAAAAATCAGCAACAACAACACCATCAGCATCTAATCGACTTCAATCGGGAATTTTTGTAGCGCATTCATCAGATGAAGTGCAGATACTTCGACCATCCACTTCAACTGAAGAACTCAATCAAGAGATGGCAAATTTAGAAGGTTTAATGAAAGATCTCAGTGCAATAACAGCAAGTGAATTTGAGTGTTAGGTTAAAGCAATATCAATGAGTAATATCTTCAGATGTTGAATGTACCATGTACATACTTAAATAACGAAATTATCCTTAACATTAATATTTTATTTTATGTTTCCATAATTAATATTTATTCATTATAATGAATAAATTTTATCTCTTCCAGTTCAAAGAGAAATGGAAACAGGAACCATAAAATTATACAAAACGAGTTAAGAATGTATAAAATCATGAAGGATACTCAATTCAATATCGCAACGCGATATTTCGAAGTTAATTGAGTTCTTAATTCAATCTGAATGAAATTTTGTTTTAATTTTTTGTATTTTAGAAGAGACGTAAAAGGTCCCAAAGAAAATAACTTTTTCTCCCGTGATAACGTGAAAAAGAAAACAAATATTTCAATAGACGATTTAAAATTAGATATTCTGATTTTAAAATGTGAACTTTAAAAGCACCATCCATTAACGTTAGCATATACAAAACGCATTTTCATGTATTAACTATAACAAATTTTACAAATCTGTCTAATTAATTGTCTACATAATTCATTCTGAAATTTTATTTATCTCGTAAATATTTCGTCTTCATATTTTAAATTAGGTAAATCATATAAATTCTTGATGAAAGTAAAATTAAATAGATATGCCTATGTATTCAACAACTTGTGAAATGAAAATTTTATGAAGTAGGTAATAATCAAAGCATCGACTTTTATACCATCACGAGAACACTAAAATAAACAAGGAATTTTTAATCAAATTAGATTAAGTAATTAAAATATTAAACCAGCTAAATAGGATAAATTTTATACACAATTAGATTCTAAGAAAAAATATTTTAATTTCTTCCCCACGCGTGGCCACGGTCAATGGCTGGCTCTAAAATATATTTTTTACTGAAAACTTTTCATTTTAGTTCTATTTCGTTGTGAGAGGATGTAGATAAGTAGCTACTTTTTATTTGTGATTTAATTAATTTAATTAAGTTTACTTAGAGAAAAGTGCAACATTTTGTAAAGTATCTGCAAAGATTCATAAAAACTTTTTGGTAATTTGAAAAGTAATTCAAATTGAGCAAAGGTTTTGAGTACATAAATATTAATTTTTTATTACGAAAACACAAGTATAGCCAATAACAAAACGATTTGTTTAGTACTTTTGTGCCATTTTTACTCTTATCTTTATGTTATTCATTTCATATATAAAACAAAAACACGTCACAAAACAAAATTGAAATTAATGTAAAAATAAACAAAACAAATAAAATTTTGTAAATTCTTTCGCATTTGTTATTGTTCTTAATTTTTCATTTAAAATTTATATTTAGAATCAGAGTTTGGCTCCATCACCAAAAATTGTTACGAAAAAACCAAAGTTACGTATGAAGTTGACACGTTGTAGAAATGATCATTTAACTAATCAATTTCATTATCTACTTCACACTTTTATTAACTGTTTTCTACTCAACTTTTAAAATTATCTTACTTCATATTAAAAAATTTTCTTATCAGCTGGAAAATGGTATCGAATTATCGAGGGCACATGACTGCTTTTCCACCATCAACAAGTAGACAAGTTCCAGTAATAAAAGATGCCAAATCATTATTAGCGAGAAATGCTATAGCATTAGCTGTTTCTTCAGTTGTTCCTACTCTACCTAAAGCATGCGTTTCTTTCGCTCTCAATTTGAAACTTTCATAAGCTTCTTCGTTCATACCAAGTCGTTTATGAAAATTTGTTACAATGAATGCAGGGTTAATTGAATTCACTCTGACGCCTTCTGGGGCTAATTCCAGCGCAACACATTTTGTGAATTGATCAAGGGCTGCCTTTGACATGCAATATGAAAGCAAGTTTGGAAATTGACGAGGGCCAGCAACCGATGAAACATTAACGATATTTCCACGAGTCTTTATTAAATATGGAGTTGCCAATTGAGTGAGATGAAAAACAGAGCGGACATTTGTATTCATAACTTTATCGTACTGCTCTAATGATGTTGTCAGAATAGTTCCAGCTTCTCCTACTCCCGCATTATTAACAAGAACATCAATTCTTCCAAAGTTTTCAATTGTGCTGTTGATAATTTTATGTCGATCTGCTTCATCGTTAACGTCAGCAACAATTGCTAATACTTTTGAACCACATTTCTCTTGAATTTCTTTCAAATTTATCTCATTTCTACCTGTTATTACAATATTTGCACCAAGTTTTGAAAAGTGAATGGCTGCACCTGCTCCAATACCAGATGATGCACCTGTGATTATGACAATTTTACTTTCAAAAGTCATGATGAATTTTTCTATTTAATCACACGAAAAAAAATAAATAAAGCTTAACAAGACCGCAAGAATATTGAAGACGAATTAAAAATTGGACTGTGGTTGATATTTTTATGAGTGAATTTTTTCTTCTGTCTACACAGTGACAATTTTTTAATACTTTTTGGAATACAAAAACATCGCTAAGACCAAAATTGGAAACAATACATGAGAAGAATCAGCTTTCTAATACTTTTTCTCTGGTTTTTGTAGAAAAAATTTAAAACTCACACAATATATAGCTACATTTGTACGCATAGAAATGTATACATCTACATATTTACTATCGGACAAAGGCATGATTAGATATCAAAGTTTTGATTCAATATTTCGATCTTTTCAATTTAAGAGTTAGATGTTTCAATCGTGACTTAAAATTCAAGGACCAATAATTACTTTTCATAATTGTAAACAGTTTTTTGTTACAAAATAAATTCATTGAAATTAAAGATGTACCTATTTATTTAAATTTTTTTGAGTTGGATTTTATCTTTAATATTTAAATATGGGACATTAAACAAAGCATAACTTTCTTTAAAAAGATATTCTTATCAGTTAATAACTAATAATTAAAAAAGTGAAACACAAATTATTGAAAATTAATGTTAAAAAATGCAACTCCTTGAAATTGAAGTTTTAAAACCTATGTTTAACAATATTTTGAACAAACTCGTGAGCAGTATCTAAAATCTCTAGCTTAGATTTATTTTTGAATAAGAGATTTAATAATTGATGAATTTCTTTTGTGTCATTCACAATTTCAAGATGGTTTGTATGGGTGTTATTAATCAAGTGATAAATTAACGTTTTATTAAGTTTGTTTATGTCTTCTTCATATGTAACGTTTTCAGATATGTTTACTTTGTGTATAAGATACCCTACGATGTTGGGAACTGAAATCTTATCACAGACACGCTTCGTAGAATTTTCTCTCAAGGCGTGCTCCAAAAAATCATCGGAATGATTATCAGACAGCAAGGCTAATGCTCGATGCTTCACATTTCTATTGATTGCCATGAGCTTTGACAATGAATTTAACATTTCTAGAACTAACTTGTGTTGCTTAGCAGACATGTTAGTGTCCTGAGATTCATGTAAAGGAAAATATTCTTCAAATAAATATTCAAAGCCCACTTTTTCAGCAACATCTGTTACAAGATTTTTTTTCTTGCTCAATGATTCATCCTCTTTTTGATTATATTTATCAAATAGTTCATTAAATGGTATATTTTTTGAAACATATTCCAAGAGCTCATCTTTATCATTGAAAATAAGTTTATTCGAAGTTGGTTTTGTGATTTCAGACGTTGTGACGTCGGACAGTTGCTGAGGCTGCTCCAAATTTACTGACAAAACATTTTGCAATTCTTTACTATCTAACTCTCGATTATTCATTAAATCCTCTGCATTTTCCTTGTTAGATTCAAATTCACCGTAATCCTGGATATTTTCATTATCGTATACGAGGCACCTGATGAGATTGTTAGATTTATGGATCGGTTCTTCTTCATCTACAATATATTTCTTTGTTGATGCAACGGGATCTCTAAACCCGACTCTTTTCCTCTGATTTTTGCAAAGTAAAATATGTATAAATATCAAATTTAAATGCTTTTTAAAATGTACTCACTTTTACTGATGATGAAGGAGAGATGCCAGAGTTATAAACGAAACTTCTTTTTTTACTCAAAATACTAGAACGTGGACTGGCATTAGGATTGTATTTTAATTCAGAAGAGAATGTTAAAAAGTTACTATCGCCCTCGTTTTCATTTTTAGATTTTTCCTCTTTTATCTTCGATGCAGAAATTTTTATATTTTTTGATTCTTCTATTTGAGGCGATAAATTTGGTGTTTTTTGTCGCACAAGATCGAGAAATCTTGCTCCTCGACTTGAATTTAGCAATGGTGAAATCATATTTGATTGCATTTTGAATTAATGCAGATAACAACACAAATTCAACAAATTACCTACTTAGATTCAGACAGAACAAAAAATAATGAAGTTCGCGCCTTTAAATTAGAGAGGTGCACGATACAAAGGTTTACTGTGAACTCTTCAACTTAAAGACGCATATCAGTTTGTAAAACCGTCCAGCGGTTCATAGAATTTTTTTTTCAACCCTGACCAATTGTTTTGAAAAAAACCCGTCATCGACCCGGATAAGACAGTTTTCCCGCGGACTGGAAATTCAGTTTTCATACAAAGTGGAACAAAAAACACGTTTTTCCGCGAGATTTCACACTCTCCACCTGAAAATAACTTTCGTGCAGTAAAATTACTCGTTTTTTTGTAAATAAAAACAATTTTCTTTATTCGTTGAGTAAAATGAAATATTTACAATGAGTTCCAGCAGCACGAGAAAAATCGAACTTCGGAAATGCAATTTTTACATTATCATAGCTAACAGAAGCGACTTCTGTGAAACCTGCTTTAACTGCAGCTCTTTGTGCCTGAATCGAGCTGAATGAAGTTCCACTTACTCTTATATTGAGAGATTTCATTAATGGGATTCGAGCTTTTAAAAGCTCCACGGAAATTCCATGACCACGATAATTAGGTTTTACCCCCAAACCAAAACCATTTAAATAATGATCTGTTTTGAACGTATCATATATATCAAATCCTTGCATCGTGAATTTTTTACTCTTTTGTAAAAGCTTCATATCTTCATCAGTAATCTGAATAATGAATCAAAAATCTTGAACAATGCAATATTTTAATTATTCTTGAATTTACTTACATCATCTTTTGTTTCTCCGCTTCTTGTTATTCCTAAAACATTTACGGCAACAAGTTCTCCAGTTTGTTTCTTAAAACATGCTAGTGTCATTCGTTGTTCAAATAACTTCATATAGCTGGTAATAATACCTTTCATGGCTTCTTCATTCTTATGAATTTGAACAGATTTACAAAAGTTTTCTTCTGGCATTAGATATTCAGTCAACAAACTTAGGGCGTCCTTATAATATCGCTCTGTTAAATCCTGAATATTAAATTCTTCCCCATTAATTAAAAATGTTGAGTAAATTTGGGGATAGAGTAAACCTTCTATTCGCTTCTTTTCCATTTCTAAGTGTTCTTGAAAATTTCACCTACATATGTTTCAAAACACTTCAAGTATCCACTCTCTTATCTGCCAACTCTTGACTTACACACCATTTGATAGCGATAAATTGTTACGGTATAAAAACATAAGAAATAATTTTATTTTACATTAGTAGTTTCTTTGTATAAATGCATCGTTTAACAGAATAAAATAGAAGAGAAATGCAATCTGGAAGTTCAAAATCTTGATTAAGGATATTTAAAGAATAAGACGAAAATATGAATCTGGTGAACTATAAATTCCAACAATCCCAGAATGTTTATTCTTTTCCAGTCTTTCGGTGATTTCATCATAAATTTCTTGAAGATATTTCTGCTTGTATTTCGGAAATCTGTTTCAAATAAAAGAACAGAATACATAAATACATATGAGAAAAAGCCGTAAAAGATGAAATAAAAATTCTTACTTCTCCTTTAAAGCATCAAAATCACAATCTGATTGATCTTCTGGATTAGGATCAATACAACTGATCAGTGATTTAACTTGTTTTGTATCAAGTTCGATCACGAAGATAGCTAATGTTTCCTTCTTGCTAAATTTCTTCATAGTTGCATTCAATCTCTGTTCAACTTGATTCTCAATTCGTCTTCTATTATTTTGATTTATTTTCGTTGTCATCACAAAGATTACATCCAATGCTGGTACTCCAGATGTTGGCACATCGAAATTCTTACTTGATATACTTGTCACTGAACTATTGCGATGTAATAGGTGGTTAAAATTATCAGACATTAAATTAGAGTCTACATTTAAATTTCGTTTCACATATTCGATAATTTCAGATTTTGTAACATTTTTTTCAAAGTAGCGATCTTGTTGCCATGTTTTGTATCTTAAGCGTCCATCTTCACCAATCACAATTATATGATTAGCTCCTAAATCTCGAGCCCATGAATCTTCGTCTTCCTTTGAACTTGAAGCTTCCAAAAAACAAGACTTAATGCCAGCGCTCCAAAGAGATTTCAAAATAGGCGTGACTTCTTTAAGTGGCGTGCGAGTCCCAGTCACATAAACTACCAAATCAACCACTGTACGATAAATATTGAGATCATTTGATTGACTAAGGCACATGACAAGTTTATCAAGAGCCATTGAAAAGCCAGCACAGTACATATTTCGGGTAACGACAGACATTCCAGAATTTTGGGCAGTTTTTCTATGCAAAGAAAAATAAGAAGTATTTAACAGAAAATGTTTAAATAAAATATAATTACTGATAGTCATCTAGTGCATTGTCATATCTTCCTCCACAAGCTAAAACTGTAAGTTTCCCAGGCTTTAATTCTCCAATCATTTGCCAGACAATACTTCCAGAACTCATGTTTTCATAGCCATTGGAGAACCCGACACATAAATTGATTGGGATGTTCACACCTAAGCTCTGACTTAAATTTATGACATTTTCAAGTTCTCGAATGGCACCTTTGGCAAGTGATGAAGCTTCGCCACGTCCTTTTAGCAACACTTTAAGTATTGTACTATTGACGGAAGTTATTGAACAATCAGACATCAATAAAATTTCTATCAATTGATCTTTTCCTGGTAATAAAGTTTTTACTGAATCTTTGAAATTTAATCTCGAAATTTTTCCTTCGAAGCAATCGGAAACAAGTGAAAGAATGTTTTTATATTTTTCCTTCGGAACAGAAAAATAAAGAAAAATAGCCCGTAATAAACTTGTGTGATTGATTCGAAATGTGATGGTTTTTTGTCCAAGCATATCAAGTTCTCGAACAATTTCATTTGCAATTGATATGAGTTCAGCATCGACTAAAAGTTGTCCAAGAATCGGTGTCACAATGTCAAAAGCAATCTCATAATTCTGCTTTGGATGAAAATTATAAATTTTCTTCTCACGATACACGCGTCCGATAGAGTAACGACGGAGGAAAATTATTCCATTTAATGCGACGTACTTAAGCAAAGGTTCACGAAGATTATAAGGAAGTGTAACAATTAATCCTGAATGGGACATCAACTTAACTGTTGAATCCGTTGATGCATTCTTTGTGTATGGAGACAGAAGAGGTGTACTAACATCAATCGCTCCATGTTTTCTGAATACTTGAATAATTTTATTCTTGACATTCTCAAAGACTGGTGAAATTTGCACCATAGCAGTGTGATAAGTTAATTGACAGACTTTGTCACTCTCTTGCGCTAAGCATCTTGCAATTAAATATTTATAATTTCGACTTTGAGGATTAGCTAAAACGTTTCGCATAAGTTCTTGGAGTTCATAAGCTTCTAACTTTGCAGGTGGCAACAAATCAGATTGCAAAAGTTCTTCACTCGTTGGACGTTTATTTGGATTATGATCAAGAAGCCATTTCAAAAGTTGAACTTCATTTTTGTGGCTTTCATCAGATAAAATCTTTTGGGGTAAACAAACGTCTGATTGTCTCAAACTTGCTATAACTTTGATTCTTTCCATTCCAGTTGTTAATGGAGGCGTGCACATTTCAAAGAAAATTATTCCAAGACTATAAAGGTCGACCTTTTGATTGTATGTGGATTTAGAAGCATTTCCTGCGAGTTCAGGTGCAACATAAAGCGCTGTTCCTACTTGACCAGTTTGAGAATCGCCTAACATAAGCTGATGTTGATTATTGGCAATTTGACTCTCGTCAGCTTGTAGTTGATGTTGTAAAGCCAAGACGCTTGTTGTGGCTAATCCAAAATCTCCAATTTTAACATGATCTTTAGAATCCAGGAAAATATTTACTGGTTTTAAATCTCTATGAATCATTCCTTGCTGATGAATATGAGCCAAGCCTTCAACAATCTCTCTAAATAATTTCCATAATCTCTCTTTTTCAAGATAAAGATTTCCATCAATTGCTGTTCGCAGAGTTGACTTTTCACAAAATTCCATTTGAATATAAAGAATGATGTTTCTCTTGACTTTATGATCAGCATTTTTATATTTTTTGTTATTTCCATTTTCAACGTCGTCATTGTATTCGTCTTCATATTCCACAACTCGACCCTGAGAATCAACAAATTCAATTCCATCAGAGTTATCAGAACTTGTTAGATTTTTAGCTGGTTTGCCGAGGAAGTTTTTCCACCCTACGCTAAATGAATCATCATTATCATCATCATCATCATCTTCTGAAGAATCGTCATCAACAGTCATACTCGCTAAATGATTCTGACTACGAGTTTTCACCATTGAATTCCTGTTGAAACTAAACGACATTTCACTTTCATCTTCTTCACTTTTTTCTGTCAATGCCGTTTCTTGTGTTTCTATCCAACTGTTGAAATATCGAACAACATTCTCGTGATTTAATCTGGAAAGGAGTTCGACTTCTCTTGTCATTTTCTTGTAAAGTTGAATATTTTTGACTGACAGAGGAATGCGTTTGATTGCGTATTGACGATTATCAAGGATATTTCTCACTTTTAAGACATCACCATAAGCTCCTTGACCAATAAAAGCTATCATTTCAAACTCTTTTTCTAATCTTGAATGATCAGAAGCAGCTACAGGAGCCATAAATAAAGTCGAAACTTGTTGCGAACGTTCAACTGGCGGTGGAAAGTTTGGAAGGAATTTTTTCTCCTCTGAAAGTTCCGAATTTGGATTTTCAATCATTGGATACAAAAATCTATGATTTAACAGATCCGATCCTGATAATGTTCTCTCACTTTTGCAATGATTGATGAAATCTCTCATTTCTAAATGTGGCGTTGGAATTAAAGTTTCTATGAGTGAACCAAGTGAAGGCAAATCTGCTGATGGTGATTCATCGTACATAAGATCTTGAAGATAAGGAACAAAACTGAAATCACTGATTCGAATAATTCCTGAATTATCCATGAAAACATTAGAATCGAGAATATTTCCATGTGACACTCCATTGTTATGCAGAAATATTAAAGCTTCAAGAACACCCTTCGCAACGATACTCGCTCCTTCTGATGACCATCCAAGTCCACTAGAAATATTGTAGATGCTTATTCCAAGCAGAAATTCTTGAACAAGAAGAATATGAATAAAGTCTTTTCTTTTCGTCGCAACAACAGCTTCATAAGAAACAAGATATTTGTGATGAAGTTTTGATAAATCAGAAATTTTCTTCTCAATGGTTTCAATCAATTCATCAGGTTTAAGATTTTTCATTTCTAGTTGAGAGTTTGTTATGGTCCATTCAGTTATATAAAGAAGTTGTCCAGTAGTCATATCAATACCAGAATAATTGATGCACCCTTTTTGAGAGTGACCAAGACATGCTCCTTTCTGAATTTTCCTTCCGGTTAATGGAATGTAAATTATTTCGCTGTGACGATGATCTTCACACACTTCAATGAGATGTTTTGAATCTTCTGAATTGTTTGACGATGTATGTCTGGGAGAGGATTCACTTACAGTTGAACGTCTTTTTTTACTTTCCTTCAGAAGTTGCTCCTTTCTCTTGATGATGTCACTTTGAAATTGTTCCTTCGTTCTTTTCTCTTGCTTGTCAATTTCTTCCTGTCTCTTTTGATCTTGAATTTGTTTATTCTTGAGCATAGTATCATAAAAAGATTCACTAATAGGTAGATCTATGGGAACTTGAGGTCTGTTGTGATCATGAAGGAAGTTTTGAATAAGTTGACACAACTCAAATATCATCACTTCACCCCGAAATTTGTAAGCTTCCTTATTAAGAAGATTTTGAAGTTTGACAACATCTTCATCTTGAAGCCCTTTTGGATTTTCAAGAATAATCTTTGGTGTGCTAAAAACAAGGATAATTAATCTTATATTATAATCCGCAGTCATTTTACATGTCTACTTACACTTTTGGATAGTTTTTCGGGCATATAACATGAAGACTTATGCCGCAAAAAACTTGTGAAATCTTTGAATCTTTCTGAGGTGTCAAGTCAATTTTAATATTAAGAAATTTTGCTTTTTCTTGTTCACATCTTAGATCAGTCAGTTCATCACCAAATATACTCTATTATAAAGCACATTTTTTCACAAGTGATTAAACATATGTTTTGAAAATGACGAAAGATTCAATGAAAACTACTCACTTTTAAAACTTCAAGCTCATTTTCTTGCCGATCTCTATAAGTTTCTTTCGATTCCATTCTTTTGTTTAACCATTTTAAAATTTAACTTAAATTATAAAATAAAATATTATTACTTATTTGGTACCTTTTAAATTAATAAATTAAAGCGCTTTTGTTTGTTTCTCAATTTTTTTCTGCGTTTATAGATATTATGAAAAAGAAAACAATCTTTAATGGTGTGTGAGTTGAAATGTGTTCAACAAAGGGCATGGAAATTATTTGTTGAGCCGTTAGGGCACTTATTCGATGAAAGCAGTAAAAAAGTCAATTTAAAGCAGCTCAAAGTTTATGACATGACTTCTTAAGATATTAGAATGATATTGGACCTAATTATGCTTCAATTATATAAATGATCTTTGTAAATAAAAAGTAAAAATTCGAATTTAGTGGGTAAAGTTGTGCAACAAGTCCACTAACGATACATACAATTACGCAAGGCGATGTATTAAAACTTTAAAGTTCGTGAACTTTTTCAAAAGCTTCAAAATATTAACAGAATAATATTTTATTTATCGAAAACATCAATTATTAGTTATTTATCAGTTTTAAAGAAATATCTACCTAGCCACGAATCATCGTGTTTGCTTCGCTTCATTTGAACACGTTAGTTTTTTCAAGAGTTTTTTTGCTCTCCGAAATATTTGCTCTCTGAATTCACAAACACAATCACTTGTATTGCGTTAGGAAAACTGCTGTATTTCGATTTTTCATTATATTCGCGCTCGAAACAGCAAGTCGTCCAAAGTCTGAAACAGTCAGTCTTGGTTTAATTATTGTCGCGAATCGTTTGTTGGCGTAGTATTTTCGGTTGGTTTTACAATTTATTCTCTAAATATTCTTTCTTTGTCTTCAATATTTGAAAGTGAAGTAAAAGTAGAAGGAAAATAAATTTTCCCCACGCCTGAAAATTACGCAAAGCTTTTTTCGACATAAGTTTAATTGCGTAAATTTTTTTGTGTATAGTGCCACAAATACATATTGGTGATAAAGTTGTTTCAACCTCAAATGAGTTTTGTTCATAAGCCTGTTTGTTAAATAAAAAATGAAAAAATGAAACCCTCAATGTAGAATAAAAAAGAAAATTGGAAAAATGATTCTCTCGACAAGGAAAATCTCAAGCTTTGAGAATGTATGAGTGTGAAAAGAATATGGAAAAGAAAAATCAAGTAACAGCTGATTCAGTTTTGTCGTCTATACATTTTTTTCTCCATATTTTGGGTCGCGCGCATAGTGAACAAAACAAAGGCGACTTTTAAGTGTACACTCATGTACAACATTGTGGATGTGAAACACGTGGTCGATTTTTTTCATCATATATATTAGATATCTTTTTGTAAAATAATGCAAAAAAATAAACTTCGTGTTTGTTTTCACATTTTTTTTCCTTCTTTCTCTCTGTCTGTTAATTCTTTTTCAATAAAATAATTTTTCGCTTATTTCAATGAGTTTAAAGCGACGTTAGTAAAAGAAATAATTTTACAAGTGACCTTGTCATACATCTATTTTTCAAAATTTCTTCAAAACTCGTTGATCAAGTAGAATTCGCGAAGTATTTATACGAAACTTGATAACTGGTGTAGCTGTTATGATATAAGTGTGTGTTGTTGCTGGTTCATCGACACCCGATCGACGGCTCCAGTGCGACGCAAAATCAAAACAAAATGTCGAATGTTCATTTTTTATGACATTACAGAATAAAATAAACGCAGAGCACAAATGATGGCGGCATCAATTATTGACTTATTACTTTCAAAAAACGTGTGGCCTTGAAAATAAAATTTCAATAATTGGAAAATATGTTTAATAAACGAAAATTTAAACATATCAAAATTTAATTTATAATTTCTTATCGATAATGTAGTGAAAGAAATCATATTTATTAATGAATTTATTGTGAAAGCACGTGAACAAATTTTCCTGAAAATCACGCATATATTAAATCCATACCCGGTTTATGATTATTTCCATATTTTTATCCGTCTGTAGAATATTTTTAGATTATCAATTAGTATATATCTACTTAATTTTGTTTAATGTAATGACGTTTATTTAAAACTAATTCTAAATTTTTTTATGGGAATATCTACAGTAGTTATATGTTTGTAATGCAACTTCGCTTCATGACCGATTTCTTTGTTGAGATTGGATTTGTAAATTTATCCATTTGAATCATCAAAGGTTAATAAAGAAGTATGCATGACAGAAAGGAACAAAGAAGGCAAAGATTAAGAAGAAGGAATATTTGTAATAAACAAAACATATGATTGATGACTTTTCTTTATTTTCTTAGGTCATTATCGTTCCGAATTAAAAATATTTATTGCACAAGCCTTACTTTTCTTAGAATATGATTTGAAAAATAAGATTATGTTTGTCCCCGATTAGTATTCATTGCTTATCTACATGTAAAGTTATTAATACTTGGCGTCATGACGTCATTATTTTTTTTAAGTGTAGATAAGAAAGGAATCTGTAGCGTCATACTAGAGGAACAAGCAGACGATAATTATTCAAATAAATAAAGCAAAAAAAAGCTCTGCACAACAGAAAAAAATATTTAAAGATGTGCATGTATAAATATGTACATAAATATTTGAAGATATTCTTTGTTTAGCATAATTTCTTATAGAACATGGAAAAAGAGAGCAATGCAGTTAATCACTGATGATCGTTGAGTGTTGATGTTCATAAACTGCATAATTGCAGCAAATTAAAAATAACTAAACTGTAAACATTCGAAACAAAAACAATTTAGAGGTGAAGAAATAAATGTGACTTATACTTTATTAACATGTCAATGGATAGTTTTGGTTCTTTAGGAAGACGAAGCAGAAAAGCTAGTAGAGTAAGTCAACTCATTTTTCGATATTTATTATCAATTGAAAATTTCTTTAATTTCATTAAGAAGGGTATCAATCTAAATTAAATTTAAATAATAATATACAAAAGGATTACGTAAAATCTAAGTGAAACAATTTAAATCTTCAAAATTTAATGTTTATCAATGAATTAAGAAATGATCGTATTAGACCAAATAGTTAATAAACATCAATTTTTCAATGAAAAATAACTATAGAGCAGTTGATGTTTTTTTTTCCAAGAAGTTTCAATTTTTATATCATCAGTAAGTTCTAATCACTAAGTAATGATTGAATAAGTACTTGAGATTATCGCTCCAGGAACACAATCAAATGACTACTAAATAATATGACCCTCTTCGCTATCTTATCAACGTACTCACACATCTTTACATTTATCAGATCAAAATAAAAACGAAACTTTAGAAATAAAGTTTAAAGCTCTTGAAAAATACAACTTCTTAAGAATATCAACTTTATTAAATACTTAAGTCAGAAATTACTTAACTAATCAGGAGGATTATAAAGAAATAAATACATATATGTAAGCTAACGCTTTACGCATCTGAATGAACATAAAATTCGAGAGTTTCGATTGACACGAATGTGTTTTGTGTTAACAAAATATTACAATTCACTCAATGATCCACTCATTTCTAGACAAAATTAAATACTCCCCCTCTCAATTCTTGTACTTAGCACTCGATCACATTTTTCGTCAGTCTGTGAATGTTTCTTGAGACGTTTGGTTCGCGTTTTTATCACATGGCGACAAAGCTGCCACATGTGAATTAAATTTTGCTGTTTAAGGTCTTACAGATAGTGTTCATATTTTTGCATTAAAATAATTATTTATTTTCCTTTACTTCGTTTGTTTTGTAAACGAAAATATTGTATGCCTGAAACTAATTTTTTCTTTCTTTTTCTACCATAACAATCAAGAAAATAAATTTTGCGCATGAAAACTTAGCAGACATAAAGTGAAAAAAAAATCAAGAAGAATATTAAATTCTATAAAAAATAGTCGTGAAAATCTTCAAATATTTTCGTAACATAAATTATCATTGAATTCTAAAAGATAGATATTAATGGAAAAGAAGGTAAATAAAAAAAGTAGAATGAACTATAAACATTTCACTTCACTTCAATGTTTAAGCCTTTGTTAATGAGCTTTCAATTGTTATCATAAAACCACTTTTAGATATTTTTTTTAGTAGATTAAACACTTCATTTCTTTTTGTGTTAATAGATTGATTAGATATTGTGTATGCCCATAATATAAATGTAACATTGATTAATCGTTTTTCAATTCGGGTGCCAGGGACATTGAGATTCGATTGAGAATAAATCCCACTTTGTCATGTTGTAAGATCTTTGGCGTATCAGATAACATTGAATTTTAACGCAGATGTATTCGCAGGATCAAAAAATCTTGTTATTACAAAATCTCAAGACTTGGTAAACAATAATCACACTTAGTTGGTCACACTTTCCATTTTATATATGCATGAAATTATTTTTTCTTGAATGATTGAAAAGACTGTCTTGAAGCCAACAATAATATTTAGACAAGAAGAAGCATGAATAAATGATTATCAAGCTGCTATGTTTTTTAAATAATGATTAATAAGAACCATAAAAAAATTATCAGTTTAACCATCCTACATAAAAGTTGTTCATAAATTTTCCTTGTTTTTATTGCCATGTAGAAATTATCTACAGATTTTTCAAAATTAATGTTTAAATTAGAAACAGTCTCCCCGAATAGCACACACTCGCCGTGCCGAAGGCATACGTTTGCACTGTGGCGATTTTCATTGCTATTCGGGCTCCTAAATGATCATTTATAAAAAAATCTATGCTTTATCTTTAAATCTAATTTCAAATGATCCACCAAAATTATTTATTGAAATTGATAGTCTCAGAAAAATTAAAATTGCAATCTTTTAATTTCTTATTCTGAAGGACTACTGAATACGTTCTTTAAAAAATATTTACTATCAACAATAAACTTGTCAGGTGATCTTGAGTAACATCTTTTTTCATTGATATTTTCATTCTTCAAATAATTTGAACGTCAGAGTATTCAAAACAAGGTGGATATCAAATATCTAGTATGAAAAGTGTTTAAAAGCAATTTGTTTGTGCACTGATTACATGTTTGCATGTTAATTGAAAAACATATATTTGAATTTGTCATTTGTAAAATAGATTGGCACTCCAAATGACGTTGATACTTAAATTTTGCGTTTTATTTCGATCATATTTGGAATCTTTTTTTAAAATGTTTTTTTTTAAATAATTAATACATATAATCTACCCCTAAACTTCATTTTCTACGCTTTTACCTTCTACAATTATGTATTTATAAGCACATTATTTTTTATTATATATTTAGCTTTAGACAACATACTTTTGTGTCCCCGAGTTCATTTCATTTGTCTGCTTTTAGAGTCTAAACAAATTGATTAAAGCCAATTGATGACATATTAATTAATAAAACAAAAAACTCTTTTTCATTACAACGTTAAGACTGATAGTGAATTGGGTTGCGAAGAAGCAGCGCGTCTCACAGTTGAATTGCAAGATGGAGACATACAAGAAGAGGAAGATGAAATTAATTACAACGAGCTTCCGCCTCCACCAGGTAAGCATAAATTTTATGAGGATCAAAAAAATATTAAATTTAAATATTTTTCACTCATTTTTAGATGGCGGTTATGGATGGGTTATAGTTATTGCAAGTTTTTTATGCAACATGATTGTTGATGGTATTGCTTACACATTTGGTGTATTTCTCGATAACATCGTAAAAGATTTCAAAGAGAATGGACCTGGAAAAGTCGCATTGGTTGGAAGTCTATTAAGTGGAATGTATTTGACAGCAGGTAATTTAACTTATATTATTTCTCATGTGAACACATAATTTATACTGAAACTTAAATTTAATTTTTCGTAGGTCCAGTAGTATCAGCACTTGCAAATAGATTTGGCTGTCGTGCAGTTTGTATAGCGGGAAGCATACTTGCAAGTGTAGCCTTTGTTCTAAGCACTTTCAGTCAAAGTGTCGAAATGCTGATGATAACTTATGGTGTGTGTGGTGGTGTAGGTTTTGGAATGATTTATCTACCAGCGGTTGTTGCTGTTGGTTACTACTTTGAAAAGAAAAGATCACTAGCGACAGGAATTGCTGTTTGTGGATCGGGTTTTGGAACTTTTATATTTGCACCACTGGCAACATATTTGTTAGAAAAATTTGAAGGTTGGCGTGGTGCTAACCTTGTGCTTGCCGGAATTATCTTAAGCTGTGCAATGTTTGGAGCTTTAATGCGCCCGCTAACTTATCCAAAAAAAAGCAAAGAGAAACCTTTAATGCAAAGAATGTATGAAGAAAAAAGACTACAAATGGAAAGAGGGTCAATTACAGGTTCATATTTTACTGTTACAATGCCTGATGGAACCACAAAACAACGCCTTAAAACTCCTTTGAATGCTGATCCGGGTGTACATTCAAGCTTAGCGCTTGACGAGATTGCACAGGGTCAAATCCCACCAGTAGCAACTCTTCCGACAATAAACGAAACGAAAGCACAAGAAAGTAATGACAGCAAGAAAATCACAAATGATTCAAATCAAACAGGTGAAACTAAACCAAGGCAAAGGCATACAATCTCTGAATCTGATGCTGGTGATACTCTCACTGTTGATGAAAAAAATATTCCACGTAATGCTAGTCAACCAGTTTTCTCGTCTCAATCAGCAGGTGAGACATAAATTTACTTCAACTATTTATTAAACTGAAAATTTTTCATTTAATCTAAGGCATTCCGAAAAATGGTTCAGTTCCATCGTTTAATCGCACTCGCAAATCGTCTGAAAATGCTCGTTATCAGCCATCATTGGGAACTATTAAGGCATCATCTAGAGGAAACGTTGGTAGTAATGGTGATGTACGTAACGTATCTGATCGAAATTCCAGAGGATCTATCGGCAGCAAATATTCTGAAGAATTCGTTAGTAAATGCAAAAAGATTTGCAGCCTTCTTAAATGTTAAAATGATTTTATTTTCACTAAAACAAATGCTTTGCATATTTGAAAACATATTTTTGCAAAATATCTTATTGATATTTCATCTTCAATTACAATTTTCATGGAGTTAAATAATTTCATTGCTTCTACTAACGCGCATGTCAATTCAATAAGGAAATATTTTTTTTAAAAAATCCTCTCGCAATTCGTTTTTTTAAATGCTACTAATGCTTGTTGCGAAGGCTTTGAAACTCCAACATTTCTAACACTTTTGTTTCATCAAATTTAGGAATTCACTTCAAAATCATCATTGAATCAAAAGGCCCAAATGGTTCCGCCTTTAATGAGAAAGGATATTTTTTACTCTGGTTCAGTGACGAACCTTAAAGAGTATCAATCACAGAAATCACTCACAGATTACAGAAATTCAGTGATTTCCCTAACAAGATTTGAGAAGGAACATCGAAGTGATGTACCAAGATATACAGAAGAAGAGTCTTCAGATATATGTCCATGCTTATATTTACCACCATCATTCAAAGCTGCATTATCATCGATGTTAGATGTTTCATTGCTCAAAGATCCAGCCTTCATGTTAATTGGAATTTCAAATTTATTCGGTATGGCTGCACTTTATATTCCATTTTTCTATCTTGTCGACTATGCCAGTAAAAATGTAAGATTTATATCAAAGTGAAGAAGAATGTTATTGCTAATAAGCTTTTATTTATTTTAAGGGAATTGACAAAGAAAATTCATCATTATTATTATCTATTATTGGAATAACCAACACGTTCGCACGTATCCTTTTTGGATATATATCAGATTTTCCATCTGTTGATTCGTTATTCATGAACAACTTATGTTTAGTCTTGTGTACTGTTTCGGTTGGGTTGACACCTTTCTGTTCTTCGTTTACAAGCTTCGTTATTATGTCTCTGTTCTTTGGACTTGCGATTGGTAAATATAATGTATAATGCTTATAAGATGTATGCAAATATTTATGCAATTACTTTACCTTTTTTCCTTTATAGCTGGTTATATTTCTCTGACATCAATTATTCTCGTTGACCTCCTTGGACTTGAGAAGTTAACAAATGCCTTTGGCTTACTTATCCTTTTCCGTGGTGTTGCAGCAATTATTGGAACTCCTTTTGCTGGCGCTCTATTTACTCTTACTGGCACTTATGATCTACCATTCTTTGTCGCTGGAGGTTTGTTTGGGCTGTCAGCATTGTCTAGCTTCTTAGCTCCAGTAGCCGCAAGATGCAAGAAACAGCCTGAAAGTCTTGTTCATGTAGAAGTGCTTACTCCGATTGAAGAGAATGATGAAGACGAAGATGATGATAATGATCAACCCATAACAATGAGTAAAACATATAAAATGTTTATCACAAATGTGAACAGAAGAAATAATTTTTTTCCTTTTCCAACAGTTCCGAAAATCTTTCAAACTGCTCCATCACCGACTGTAGAAAGATCTCAAGAAATGAAGGAAGATGAGAAAAATAACGGGAAATCGAAGGAGCTTAGCCAGATGGAGTCTGTGTTGTAGAACTCATTGCTTTACCAGCATTTAAAATATAAAAGTTAGGTAACTCATAATTGCCGTATGTAGTTTGATGGTGGAATTTTCCTCAAAAAAAACACAGAGTATCATTAGAATCTTCATTTTAATTAAATTTTGTTTGCTTAAAAAACATATAAATAAATATATGAATGTTTTATTTTCAGTTATTTAAGATAATTAATTATAAGTAAATAACTAATGAATAAAGAAATTTTTTGATTTATTTCTGTTAAATACTATTTTAAAATGTTTCAAAATACAAAATTGAGGATACAAAACTTAGTACTTTGCAATAAACAGGCTAATTTTTGCTTTGCTCACCGACAATCTGTGTAATTTTAAGCTATAAATTTAATAACTTCTTTCAGGAAAATTCTTAAACCGACTTTTTGGTGAATTTCTCATACATATTTTCTAGACAAGAGTAAGTACCTAACACATTTTTATTTCTTACGCAACATTTTTTCACTAAACGCGATAAGAAATCGGATTGCGTAAATAAATTGTCTACAATATTTCCTAAAAATTTTTTTAATTAAGTTTTCTTAAGTTTAATTGAACTTATTGATTAATTTTTGTATTAAATCATTTTAAATTTTTGTACTTAAGGAAATTATAAGTAAATATAGTTTAATTGTGTCTTGATCGAATTAAATGATCATTTCAATGAATTGCTCGAATTATTTTCGTAACAAATCTAGCCATGTAGTCAAAATCATCACCTAAAATGTGTGTTCAATTTTCAATACAATTTTTATTTATTACATCAGTTCATCAGATTATGAATGGAACAAGAGAAATGATTGATATCAGCTTTTGCTTTTATTAAAGAAAAATTCATGAAAATGGCAAAATTTAGAATTCACAATAATTTCAATTCACAATAAAAATGAATAAAACTAAGGCTGTAAAATTATTATGGAGATTTCGCCAAAGATTCCTCATTCAATGGAAGATGTGGAGACATTGGATGATCCACAACTGACATTGACAGAGAATTGTTTGTTTCTCCGACCATTGATGATTCATTATTTTCCTTCTCACCAACATCATTTTCCTTGTTGCTTCCTAAAAATCTTTTGTGACATCATAACTATTAACAATGTTAATTTACCTTCTTCATCCTCAGATAGGTTAAAATCATTATTATCATCATTTACAATTTCAGCTTCGGCTTCTTGATGTTTTTTACTTGCACTTTTCGACATTTTTATAATTAAATATTAAATGAATTGCCAAAAATCGATTTGAGTATAAGCCGCACGTTTACACTTTTTGAAGTCTCGATCTAAACTGAACTACATAGGTAGGTAGTTTATTAGGAACCTACTTGTTGAATGTAACAATGAATAATTTTCATTTTCTAACGGAAATTCTTTGTTATTTACAATTTAAAAAAAATAAACTGAATGCACTCCTTTGTTTTCATTTACAAAAGAACTTCTCGTATGCAAGAAAAATTTTCTCAAATAAGAAACAGAAATAAGCTGAGGCGCATATATTCAGTTACCTTCTAGTTATATACTTACAATAATAAACTTTATTTTTATCGTTTGAAGTGTAATAATTGTTCAGTTAAAAGTTGAAAATGCCTGCAAAAGTGAAAGTAAAGATACTCGCTTGTCGGTAAGAATCCAATTAAAAATATTATCATCAAAAGCTTACATAACTTAGAGAATTTTATACATTTGACAATCTTTAACTGTTCTAGCAATTTACCAGTTATGGATAAATCAAATGACACAACTGATGCATATGTTGAAATTAAACTCGGAAATGTTACATTTAAAACAGATGTGAAAAGAAAATCTTTGAATCCAACTTTCAATTCAACATGGTTTCGTTTTGAAATTGATGATTTAGAAATTCAAGATGAACCATTAACGATTCGAGTTATGGACTACGATACATATTCTGCAAACGATGCTATAGGAAAAGTTAGTTTAAACCTAAGCCCACTTTTGTTGCAAAAAGATATCAGCAGAGGAATGAACGGATGGATTCCTATCTACGATACAATGAATGGAATACGTGGAGAAATTAATTTTATTGTAAAAGTTGAACTGTTTTCCGATTCTAATAAATTCCGTCAAAGTTCTTGCGGGGTTCAGTTCTTCCACTCAAACACGATTCCTTATGGTTACCACGCAAGTATGGATTGTTTATTATCCATTTATCTAATATTTATTTACTAATTTTTTCTTTAGTCATACGAGGTTTTGTCGAAGAGCTTGCTGTTGATGATGATCCTGAACATGACTGGTTGGATAAAATTCGAAGAGCGTCTGCATCTAATGAGGCTCGTCAAACTACATTCATGAGGCTGGCGGGACAAGTGCAACGAAAAATAGGATTAAAAGCTTTAAATATGGGCGGAAATGCTGTTGTGGGCTATCGACAGAACTTCGATCTTGAAAAGGATACAATTGTGTCTCGTGGAATCGGAACATGCGTGACTTTAGTGAAAATACAAAATGAGCCAAATCCAAGTTCCAATGTTACAGAAGATGAGTGAGTAATTCCAACTTTGATGTATAATAGATAAATTCTCCCTGATAAATAATAAGAATTTAATTTTCTTGTCCTTAATCCTGGAAACATTTTGAATTCAACAATTTTCATTTGAATTTTTGTTCTTAAATGATTGGCGCTATAAAATTCTAATTGCATGTCTCTATTATTTCAATTAAATCAGATTGAAGTCTGATTATGCTTCTAAATCTAACGAAGATATCAAATCATATCGAAAATGTGTGTCTGATTCTGGCTCTACTAAGACCGGAAGTAGTTTCATTAATACTGAACATTCTAAGTCGCTTTTGAGTGTCCCATCAATTTGCGTTGATAACATAGATTCTGAATCCAATTTTTCTAATGCTTTTGACACATCCTCGATCTCTGAAGCAGATTCTTCAATTTTTGATACAAATTCTGTGACTGATCCAGAAACCATTAGTATGATAGTACGAAATATTGAAAATATTGAAAGTAAAGAATCTGAATCGAAAAATGTTGAAGCAGAAATCGCAATACCTAAAACCTCCACAACTGATGTTCTTCTCAATGTCAGAAGTGATCATAAACATGATTTTATTCATGATTTGAAAGATTCACTTCAGACAAGATTTCATCATTTAAGTGGAAACAATAAGAAGCATGAAAACTCTAATCATGGAAAAGAACAACCTTTATTAAATGAACATGGAAAGTCGAGGGAAATTTTACATGATTTTAAGGAAAACATGAGTGAAAAATTTCATCAAATTGCTGAGAAGTTCCACAATCTTCATATGCCACATTTGCCCTCGTCTCATCATAATGCTATGCGTTCTGATGGTCTTACCGCTCAAGGACTAGAAACGATGCTTATGGATAAATTCAACATTGTTGAAGCTTGTTCATCGGCAGAAGTAACTCAAAAACGAAAATCGAGCGCTTCTAGTCTTCAATCAATTAAAGAAAAGTTCAACGTTTTTCAACGTCCTAAGAGACCAGTTGAGCTCATAAGTGAAACAAGCAGTTTAAGATCTATATCTGAAGTGAATTGCAGTACTCCTATTGCTATGGAAAAATCTACGAAAGATATAGGAAAACATACAGAAAATGATGAATCGTCATCGCCATTAGAACCGAGAAGTCATGAAGAAACAGAATCTTGCACATCGAATGATTCTTTTGTGACCGTTCTTTCGCGCAAACATTTCAGAGACAGTGTTGATGAAAATGATTCCCACATTACCCCTCATAAAACATTGTCTGAACTCACTACATTTGCTAATACTAACAAAAAACCTTTGCATGAATCCCTCTTGTCATTATCTAGAAATGAGCCACTGTCAACGTCGCCAAATTTTAAGCTACATCCGAGAACTGAGTCTGTAGGTTGTAAATTTTCGGCGAGTCCTTCGAAAAATGTGTCAAGTTCTTTAGGACGTGATCAGATGTCTTCAGGAATTCACAGACGTTCCAGCGATTCCGATCTTAGTATCACTCCAAAAGGTATAAAAATTTTCCTTTTTAATAGATGAAAGTAAGAAAATTTAAGAAGAAAAACACTGATTGACTCTAATTAAGATATTTAGCAATACAAAAAATACCCTTTCATACAAAACAAAATCTCGTCTTAATTAAAATCATAATGAGAAAGGAAACGGAAAAAAAAAGTTTATTTGCTTTCATTTTTATTTGTGGCTTGTTTTATTCATATCTGTATCAATTTTCAATCATTTCAAATTGAATCCGACTCATTGATGATCGACATTTTAATTGCTCTTTGAACTTGAAGGATATCACATGCGAAAACGTGAGTACTGGCCGTCAACAACAAAGTGTGTGTTTAAATGTTCAAAAAGAAAATTTCCTTACATAAATATATTTGGGTATAAAACTGAACTTTTAATTTTCCTTATCGACACGCACACACAAACATATCTACCAAAACTCCTCATTAGCTGATACTTACATAACTGAATAAATTATTTAACTTTCCATCTCATGATTAAATACTAAATAAAGCACCCGTTAGGATTATTAACTTGGGTATTTCGCATCTTTTCACTTCATGTGTTTCACGATGTTTTTAAGTATTTAGAGCTCTACTATGTAATATGTCTTATCGACATTTTTATTTAATTTTTTATGCATTTTACGCGCAGGAATTTAACTATAAAAATATTATTTTATTTCTTCTTAATAAAATAAAAGTTTACGAATTTTTGGATATCATTTGACCTATCGCATCTTACTAAGTAGGACATTACTCAAATATTTTTGAAATCCATTGGTTTTCACATTCATATTGGGAAACTTTTTATTAGCATTCAATGGTAATGAGTTATTGTTAAATTGTTTTTGTGCGTCTGTTTGAATGTATCTATGTATCTACGTTTACTTACTCGTATCTTCACATTTAAAACATCCAGAATGCTATAATAAACATAAAATAAAGGGAATAAACGGTTGAGAAAGATTTTATCATTGATACTTTTTACTATTCTCATTATTTTTTAATACAGGCAATTCATTAACACCACAATATGATCGAATATCAAAAATGCCAAGTGCAGTTTTAAAACCAATGAATCAGGAAAACATGGACATGCTTGAATATCCTTTCATGACGCTAACAAAATACCCAGCTGGTTTTATTGTTCATATTGGTGCAACCGTGTCAGCTAGAAGCGTCAAGCTATTGGAGAAAGTAGCTGAGAAGGATGACATTGAAGCAAGAGATTCATGGTTTAATGAATTGAGAATGGAGATTCGAGGACATGCCAAATCTCTTGGCTGTAATGTGATTTTGGGTTATGCTGAATATGCGGATATTTGCGATGACGTCACAGTGTTATCAGCAACAGGAACTGCAGCAGTCATAAATTTTCAACACGGGTCTGAAATGGCTAACGTTATAAATCCATTGACTACATCGGTAGAGGAAAGTGTTCAAATACTGGAAGAGAACAGTGGAGTAAAAATGGTCACATCAACAACAGAATCAGAAGTTAAACCTAACGATGAAGGAACTGAAAACGGATTTAACAGCTCAACAAATATGCCATTTCCAAGCACAGCGCAAAACTTTTGTAGTTTGTGTCATATTCCATATTCAAGGTCATCGATCCATATTGGAGGCGCAAACATCGGAAAGTGTTGTATTTGCAAGTAAATATTTAATATTTGAATGCATTTGACTAATGTCCTTAACGATATTTCATAATACTTAGGCGTGGTTATGTTCCAGACGTCATTTTAGCGACCATTGAACTTCCAGAAGGTCTTTCAATTATCGGAACGGGATGTTTGATTCAAGCAACAGTATGTCGACCCAAACGGGACCTTAAATCCGAATCAAATGCCAAAGAAATATCCGATGCACTTCCTTTCCTTGGTAATCATTTAGTTTACTTTATAGAAAATTTATTTTAACTAGGTAATTTTTTCCGTTTCTTAATGAAGAATATGAACTTCATCGTTTACTAATAAACAAACTCAAAGTGAAGGGAATGAATGCAATATTTCGGCTCTCTGTGCAAGTGACAGTTGGTGACAAGATGATGGCTTTGATTGCTACTGGAACTGCTGTTTATTTATCGGCACTTCATGCTTCGGTTGTTCCGAAAATAGTCGCTGGAAATTCATGGAATGACTCATCAGACAAGCTTGCTGAGCTTCAGAAATCAATCCAGTTAACAGTCGAAAGAAATCGAGAAATGTACCAACTTGTCAATATTCATCATAATGATGTCGACATCCGAAACTTGAATCGAAACTTTTCTGACACTGATGATTCGGATAATGAAGAAATTTTGGATTATGGAATGGGAAGTAAGCAAACTTGCATTCTTGAGATTGACGATATCCAAGATTTGGAGTTATTTTCAATGCTGATGGAACCTTCGTCTCCTGAAGGGATCCAAATTGTCAATTCACAAAATGTTCCTGGAGCTGAAAACAATTTCGAGCAACTTCGTAATCTTCAAATGTTTACTCAAGTGTGGCGAATGAAAATTCCTTCTAGTCATCAAACAAATAGCAATTTTTCACGTCAATTTCAACGCTTATTGCAATCCATATTTTTTAAGCTCCGAGGTGCAATCCCATGCACAATTTGTGAGATTCAGTTCCATTTAGATTTGCCAGCAGATGAAATTCAACTATTGATAACAGGAATGGTTTTAAAAGCCACAAAAATAAAATGCAAATTAATGCAATCGTTAAGTCATGATAGAAGGATGGATGAAGAGCTTATGTTTAGTTTGGAAGAAGAAGATACAATTCAGCAAGATACGCAGACAACATCAATTCAAAGTTATCATAATAAACTTCAGAAAAAGAATTCCGGACAGTCACAAAGGATGATGAATAAAAATGATAAATTTGTGGAATTGAGTCCATTAAGTTGGGTGCCATCGGGAAAAATTGAAAGATATCTGGGAAATGTGAACTTCTCTTTCATTAGAGAAACTCAAAATGTCAGAGAGTATGGAGGCATTTGTGGATTTGTTCATAGCTTTATAACTGAGGTAAATAACAAATTAATTTTAATTCCTAAAGCTTCAACTATTTTGTATGACAATTTCTTTAAAGCTTTTGGCGATTGTTCGAGCTCACATTTCTGCACTTGGTGGAAATCTTCTATTGGCATTCTATATGACAAAACTGGTCTTGATCGATAATCCGCACAAAAATCAGGCACAATGTTTAGTTCAAGTGGGAGGTGATGCTGTTTATTGTTCTTATTCAGATGAAAATTAAATGAGGCGACTAAATTTCTGTTTCATTGATAATTAATTTATTATAATCAAAGTTACTTTATTATGTTTAAAAATATGGGGATAAATAGTGTACTCAAGTATCGAATGCAATAATAAAAATTTCAATAAATGTACATATTTAAAGTTTACAAATATAGATTGAATTTAGTATAAAAGAACTTAGGATTGTGTTGAAATGCTTAGTTATGAGCATTCAAATTCTGTATATTCAATTCCTTCGAATAAATAATGTGTTGTTAAATTAATTTTATTAAATTTTCTTCTTCCTTTATTCATCATGAACTTTCTTCTAAAAATTATTCCAGATTTTATGTCTTCACTTATTCTTAAGTCATTGCGAGGCTGTGTACAAAATTCGAATTTGATTTCAAATATAAATTGGTCTCATGCGCATGCATTTAAAAAGTATGAAACAGCACAACTTAAACTGCACATTTTGGAACATGAGCTTTATTTAAATTCATGCATGAAAAGAAATTCATCAAATGTTAAATGAAATGTTGAATGGAATTATTATTAAATTATTTAGGTGCGTAAAGTTTAAATCATGCGATTTATTTTTATTTATATTATCTATCGTCAATTATAAAAAATTCTTAAAAAATATCTTTTTCAAATAGAATATTTCAAAAGATTCACAATGAAATTACGTCAACAAAGCCTTGCACTGTTTTGTCATGCTACTTAGCTAGTATACAATCTGTTATGTCTTACTAGCATCACATCTTTTCAACGCTGATGATTTTTGAGTAATGGTAATGAAATCTTTAAATCTCCTTCATTATCTACTGAGAATGTTGGAAAAATATTAATTTTTCACTATACCTTGTTAGTTGAAATTGTAAGCTTCTGTTGTGCGAACTTTAATTCGATATTATGCCATGTTTAAGTACATTTTGTTGCGGCTACGGCCTTCGATCTGGAGGATCATTTATTGGCTACTTTTCTATTCTTGTTTACATTAAGCTTTTAATATTATGTTTGATATTTTTGGGTATCATTAAATATAGAATAGATGAAAGTGAAGGAAATAATAGCTGGAGTATAATAAATCAAATTTCAAATTTGATTCGAGTACGGTCAAATATTTATACTCTTGAAGCTTCGTTACAAGAGTTAAAAAGTGAGACAACTTTTATTGACTGATGATTAATTCTATTAAATAAATATAAATTCAAGCTTACGGTACTGTTTTGATCGTTTATTTGGTTTTTCTACTGTTCGGAATATTATGTGCATCATTTCTAATAACAGGAGCAAGATTGGTAAGTTTTGGAAGAAAAAACCAAGTTAAACTATTAATTAATAATATGAAAATTTTATTTAGCGGAAGCCAAGCTATCTTTGGTGGTGGCTTATTTATCAAGGAGTTTTCATTTTGGTTACTGCTGGGATCGTCATTTTATTTATTTACATGAAAGATGAGAAATACGGATTTCTTTCTTATTTAAAAAATTATTTCATTCGACTTCTCATAACGATATTCCTAATCATATACATAAGTTTTGTGGTTTTAGTCATTTATTTTTGGTTAGCCGTACTTTCATTACATACATATTTAAAAAAACATAAAGTTAAAGCCAAAACTAGTGTTGCCGAAAGTCAAGTTGATTTAACAAAAGATATCCGAACAGATAATATGTCCACCAGTTCTAATTCAATTCAAATGATTCCAATTAATATACCTTCCATAGATACAGAAGAAGGTGAACAGAAAAAAAACGGAAAATATTTTATTATCCATGTTTAAGTTTAAGTTTTGAAGAAGATCATGAAATTTGCAGGTACTTCAGAATTATTAAATAAATATTGAGTCGACTACAACATAATTTTTCAATACATAATAATGTAATTAGATTAAGAATTACCGAATAAAATAATTAGTATGTAGTTGAATAAAAAATATTATTAAAACTATGTATGTAGATATTTAAGCAATTTTAAATTCGTAATAAATTCTTTATAAATCCTAGAACTTATATATAGTAATGATGAAATAATTAATCACTCATGCAAGTACTAATTGTGACTCAACCTAAGCTGAATGACTAAATTTTAGACCAACTGAAAACCATAAAATTTAATGTAAATACATTCCTATACTTCCTATCAGTTTCCACATAAATACCTAATTTTTTATTTAAGAGTCGGTTTTTAATAAGAGTAATTAGAGCAATGCAAAAATTTAGGGACTTCTATAGCAACAATTCCTAAAATCAAATTTTAGACAAATATACAAATTAAAATCTTAAATATTGTACATTTTCCCCCACGATAGATCTAATGTGATTCAATATCTTTTAAACATACTTCTAACAAAATTTTAAGACGGAAAACTTCACATACAATGTTGTACAGATATGAAAAAAAATAATTATTTCAATTTTTTTTTACACTTGAAAGATCGCATAAATTATTAGGAGGAAGATATGCTCGCACTAAAATGTTTACAACATAACAAAACGCACAACAAATTGTAACAAAACAAAAATTTACTCAGCAATGTATTTCAATGCACATCCATAGACACTTTGGAATGTCACAAATTACTGAAATTAATTGAATTAATAAGAATCTTAATTGAATGACGGCTTTTGGATGTTCAAGAATTTCAAATTGATTAGATGAGAATTATTCATTTATCTCAATCAATGCACAATCTTTATTTTGGATTGATAAAAATGTTAAGTAATTAAATATTTCTTGTAGCATTTCTGTTCAAAGTGTGGTTTTTGACTAGACAATTGACACAAGATCAGTTTGAAACATTTTAAAACTCTTATTTTATGAGAAGTGAAAGGAAACTAAAATTTAATGATGCTTCAAAATAGTTTTTTCACCTCAAAAATACAACAATAAATATGTAGTAGAAAAGTAATTTTTTTAATGGTTTACTGCTCATTCAGATAAAAACAAATTCAAGGATTTTTCAAAATCTCAACTCGTTTAATTTTTGTAAAAAAAGTTTTTTCAGAAGAAATCGTGTTTTTCTTTTAATTTAGAAAGGGACAATTTTTAGCGCATAAATGTTTACCTGAATGGTTCAATACTTTCAAAAATATGTTCTTTGATTGTTTTTTGAAAATTCAACATACTTTCCTTTATTAAAGAAGATTTTTTTGTAATACCACGCTTGATATAAAGTTCTCTAAATGTTCATTCCATCAAATATTCTCACTGTTTCCCCTGCGCGGTTTCGCGCCTCATGAAATGCATCAATGCACAAAAACAGTTCAGAAGAACTCTGAGTCGAGGTCATTTCGTGTGAAATGGAATGTTAATAAGCATTAAGAACAAACGTTCAAAAAACAACATACGTTCTTGTTGTATGATTTCGTTCCTATGATGAAGCATCAGATTGTTAATACATCCAACTTTCTGTTTTAAACGAAACTGAATGAAATTATAGAACAGAAAAGACGAAGAGAAAGAGAATTTAATCTGAGTTTCATATGGAGTAGAAATATTTTAACTTATAAGTTATAACATGTTAAAAGGAATCATTTATAGATTTTTTTTCAACCATAAAAATGTTGAAGCTGTGCTATGTCTACCTAAAAGTAAGAGAAATCACGAAGGATCCCAAGACATCTTTATGTGTATGTTTTCTCTACGAGGGATTATAAGTCGCACGAATACAACGAAATCAACATGTTTTATTTTTAAACAACATAAAACTAAAATTTTCAACCAACCCTTAACCATTTTTCATAATGAACCCAAAGAAACCAACACAAATATATTCTCATAGGGCACCAAAATGCATTGTTAACGCAGCAACAACATCTGTCTTTCAATATTTTTAGGGAGAACTATATATGATATCACCTAAATTTATAGAATATTAATTAACAATGCTTAATGTCATACATTAAAATTAATTATCTTATTTTCAACAAGATTTACGTAGTGGAAAAGATTTAAAAAATATTTTTATTTTTCTTGATGACATCATTGAAGAATCATCCCAATTTATGTTTCCTCTGAACCATTAATGTTTTTAACCGTCACTGAGAAAACAACAATGTTTTAACAGTCAGTTAGAAACATTTTTTCAGAAACACAAGTTCAGTTGTGTGCTTGATTTCAAGAAAATAAATGTAAAGTGTGACAAGCTCTTCCTTTTATTCTTTTTTTTTCATCATTCTTAAGCTACTCAAGCAAGCGTATCATTTGAATTCTTAATTAACTCTGCTTTAAGACTGAAATTAATATTTCTAAGCATTTACTCAGTGAATAAATATATTGAGAAGTACAAACAAAAATCGTTAAAATGGCGCGCTTAAAATCTTTCTTTGGATCAGATCTGAAAACAGGCAGTATTATTATCGGATATGTTTCGTTATTTGCCAATCTTCTCTACCTCATTTTGGACATTGAAGCGGTTTTAGTGTTTGTTCTGGAACAATCAAATGAAAAACGTGAATTATTTGGATCATTCATCAATGAACTTAATGCATCATCTGTCGCTTTCCCGATCATTCTCTTTGCATTGGTTGCATCGTTGTATGGCGTTATCGCATCATTGCTTTTAATATGCGGCGTTTGTACTGTAAGAGTTCAACTGCATTCTTGACCTAATCGTATAATTTAATGAAGAAATTTTTTTCTCTTTTTTTATTCTTGTAGGCAAACCGAAAACGAGTTTTATGGTGGCTTATATACCAACCGATTGCTATCCTAAGTATTTTGGGGATTGCTATTTATTCGATTATAGTGCGAGCTAATTCCGAAAAGAAATTTTTCCATTGTTCTATTTTGGAATCGATTTATATTATCTTTTTGGTAGCATTACTCTTCTATGTTGCGCTACATGTTTATTTCTTTATCGTCATCATCGAATACTATTTGCAACTGAAAGCTCTTGACCCCGAAGTATCTGTAGAAGAGCCCGAAATTAAAGTCGTGAAGGAAGAAGAACTTCAATTAATCGAAACCCAAAAGGTTAAAACTACTGACGAAACTGACAAATCAGAGGATAAGCTCGCTGAAGAAGAAAATACAAAGGAAACAAGTACAAAGGAAGAAGGAAAAACAAGCAAGATACGTTGTCCCGAGCTTCCAAAATGCCCATCTCTTAAATGTCCTTCTTGGGGCAACTGTGTAGGACCTGACAATTTTGAATAATACTCATTGAAATATTGACTATTCATGAACATGAAGAAGAAATTTCAACAGAATATCAACATCTTTAAATTTATAACTAATAACTCGACTTATAGAGGCCTAACATACCAAAACAAAAGCAAACAAATTATGTTTAATTTCAAATTATAATCGATTATCACATTTATTGTAATTTTAATTATATTTAACATGAATCCATTTTTTTCTTCTTTTTAAATGTTTGAAATAAAAAATTAAACGAGTACCTACTTGAAGCTGCTTTTTACTAATTAAAAAGAAATTCCATTTGCATTCTACGTCACAACTGGGAATTCTGACTCCGAGTTATTATTGCAGTACTTTCGAATGGTGTGTGAGAGACTTTAAGCCATTAAATTGGTGTTTGAGATTTGCAGGTTTACAGACATCTTTTATGACTTACCAATAACTTTTAGCAACACATTTAACTTGTAGAATTGAAAAGAGGAAAATTACAGTAAACTTTGTATAAACATATAAAATATCTGCAATGTGATTTCAATTCAGAAACATAGAAAAAATGTTTCATTTTTTTAAAGTCAAATTTATTGATCAAATGTTTTAATTCATCTCAGTTTTTTGTAGCTTTTCTTTTATTAAATATTTTATTTACTAATATATATTACGTGACGCATTATATAGTCGTCATCAAATCTTAAGACATACTTACTCATTTAAATACTTAGCTTTAATGATTTGCAAAGTGTAAAATATATTTGAGATGTTGACACATTTAACAGTTGATAAATGCATTATCTAAGTATAAGATTATTGATAACCACATGTATGATATGAATCATGGCTTTAATACTTTCAATATTATTATTCATAACTTAAGAACTTGTGAAAAAACATTCATGTATTCAATCAAAAACAAATATCATTGACAGTGGAAATACCCATGAGAAATCCACTTCATATTTATCAATAATTAGACGAACCTAGAATGGTTAACTATTCATTTACATTGTTGGCAACATCTAACTAATGTAGATCTATCAATCAGATGAAAACGAAATCAAGACACTGAAAATTTAAAGAACTAATTCAAACTAAATTTTAAATTTATATTTAAGATCTTCAAGTTTTGAAACTTATTTTTTTTATAAAAAAGACGTTTATTAAGTCACTGCTAATGTTGAAGCTCAAATAATTAGTTAATTGAAAAATTAAATACATATCTTAAGCATTATTAATGTAGAATTCCTTGGTTATTTTAAGAAATCTAATTTTAAGTTTTAAGTTTTAATTAAAATTAAGATGAAACATAATTTTGTAAGTAACAATTCAATTGTACTCTTCAGCTGATCTTATATCGAGGTCATGTGAAAATAAATACCAGATAACGCATCATTAATTATGTCAATTAATTATAATACTTGTTAGATATATGCATATAAATTGTTATTTGAATTTTTATTGTCTACAATAATGATACGCTTTATCTATATTTATATATTTCTTCTTAATGGAGGGAAGAATTAAGTTCTACATAGTACATATTTCAAAATACACAATATATCCATTTAAAGATATTGATCTCAAGGTCATCCTATCATCTTATCTTCACACTCATGTCTACAACATAATACTTCGATCAAATATATTCTCCAATAATATTTATTTTTTTTATTTTATGAACTAAAATTATGATGTACCGTTTTCAACAATTGGCATTGAATTATCCACTAAATTATATGTTCAAAGCTCGTTTTGAATGCAAACGTGTGGGACGAAGTTCAGAGAAAGATTAGCGGTAATCTCGTTTAAATGAAATCATGACAGGAACCTTGTAAAACAACTGATCGCCAAAATATATCTTTGTAATTATTTGTGTTTCTTTGTCTAGAATCTAAATTCAATTTATTAAATAATTCTGTTTTTATTGCAAGATTTACTGCTTCATATTAGATGCTTTACAAAATTTCGTTCTACATTTGTTTTTGATAAATAAATTGTTTGTTTTATTATATTATCTGGACTTGTGATTTAGGATTTCTCACATATTTCTACATCTTGCTGTTATGAAATCTTTATACAAAGGAAATATAGCACAAATAAGAATACTGAGAGTATCTCTAATTTTGCCAATGACAACAGAAACAGAAAATGCTTGTTACACAATTTCCTTTAATTTATAGGTAACTTTAGGAATATTATAGTGTTTTAACATTATTAATAGCGGATTTTCTTTCATTACATGTAGTCAACTTGTTGATATCTAACTCTATCGTTTTTACAAAGAAAAGAAATGAAAAACATGATAAAAAAAAAGTTTGAATTCCGAACATTCATTCTCTAAAAAATACAAAGATTGATCATTTCTTTATTTTTCTCATACATATTTGAATGTTTTTTTATATAAAATTTCAAAGCATAGTTTTCTCCTTTTAAGTACCGATAAAAATGAAGGTGAAACGATGTGGATTAAATATTTGTATTGTTCTACCATTTTAAGCGCTTCTTTTCTTACTCAAGCTTATCCATTTCTCCATGTCTTTCTTTATTATTTTATTAGATATTTTCATACTTAGAATCTTGTTTCAGTTGAAATCTTCAATTGTTTTTCTACAAAATTTTTTCCGTTCATTTTAAACTTAAATGATATGAATAATTTAATTGAATTAAATAATATGATGAAGATAGTTATGATAGGAAGAAGTTTTAAGCGATTTAATTTAATTAAAATCAAATGCTTTAGATTAATAATGATGATTAAAGATTTCAACGATGTGAGGGAACTTTATGCATATCTACAATTTTTGAACATTTGGGAGATATTGAGAACAAGATTTGTTATCCAATAATATTATAGAATGCATACTTATATAAATCAATGCTCTCAAGTTATAAAGATAAAAAATGAAAATAATTTCTGTTCTGATCATTCGTTCACGACTTACTTACAAATTGATTTTTTCATCGTATTCCGACACCAATTCCTACAGTTTAGAAACATTTTAACAAAAATTGGTGATTGCCTCGTATCATATTTGAATATGATCTTAAAACACATTAAAAGCAATATTAATGCTGATATCTTTTTAACTTATGAGCTAATAGGGAGATTTAAAGAGAAAACTGAAGAAATTCTCCTTTCTTACAAGATTTTACATCACGAGATACAAATAAGAAATGGAAGAAGAAAATAAATTTCTTTAAACAGAATTCCTCAAAGAAAGTTAGTTAATAGTCACTATTCTAGCCAGCAGTGCTTTTAAAAAGCATTCGACAAAGTTCACCAGTTCGGCCGGACTCACACAACAGCTGCTGTGATCTTTCAACAAGCTTTTTATTGTTACCAATTAATCTCCTTCCTTTTGCATTTGTTACCTGCCATTCGTCATCAATCGAGTCGTCTTTTTCGTAACCGGAGGCAACGTCATCTCTATCAGGCTTGTTAATTTGCTTTACATTCTCAGTTCCATATTGAGATTTCAAATTAGAAACAATTTCACTACTGACACTGTAAACATTTTCAATATAAGCTGGTTCTGGAGGTGCGTTGCGATTTTTCAATGGTTTCTTTACATTAACGATAATCTTTCCGTCTCCACTTGATACGATATCCTCATCGTCTGTTTCCGAATCATCATCGTAATTTTCGTAGTAAAAATCATCATCAGGCTGATTTTGTTCTATCGGACGTCCAATGATTGTTATCGGTGCCGTAACAGGAATTTCGTTTGGTCTCTCGCCTACCTGATTGCCGAAATTTCCCGAGTTGTCATAGTTATCGTCACCATAATTGTCGTTGTCGATATAAATAGTATCATCAACAGTCTCTTCCGTTGACCGATCCAATTCTTGTGACCTTCGATGCGATGAAATTCTAATATTTGCATTTGCTATGTTGTGATTACTACTCGCATCATTCCTCACTAGATGTACATTGTTCGGCGTTTTGTTCACGAATGTACTTATAATCGCGTTGATAGAGAAGTAATAATATAGAAAAGAACAACTAGCAAACACTAATATGAGGACAAGTGTGTTTATGATCATCAGAAGCTTCTGTCGTATTGAAAAATTTGGAAAAATCATCTTTTATAGTTGACTTTATCTTCACTTTTATTGTTTTATTACAAAATTTGGTTTTGTTCCTTGATGAAAAATAAATATTTGTTTCTAAGATTAAAAAATGTAGATAATTTTTATGGCTCGGAAAAAATTTCTTTCAACTGGTTTATTCTTTTGATTTGTAGTTTAATATTTCTTTATTTTCCACGTTTAAGCTGATTTCTTTCTAGTTGTCCACTAACATTTGACATTGAACTTTCACTTTTTCACAAATTTATAAGGACTTTTTGGATTTCCCCCATTTAAATTCCTAAAGTTTTCGCTTGGTTTTTCCTTCGACTTTTCTCTGCTCTAGGTTTGTAAAAAACAACACAAATATGAAAATTGGTGGAATATTAGATTTATCTGTGAAGAATGATTGTACTTTCTTTGGCTGTGTGCTGGAAATGCGAACATGCGCATTGCATAATTTTTTTTCTGGAAAAGCATTATGAACCCTATTAAATTATCATATAAATTTTCCGTTCTTCACTTGTAAATATTAATTTAATTCGACGTATTTTCCAATTAAGTTTCAGTGTAAACATTTAAACTGATGAAAGCTTTTAATTCACAAAGAAAATTATTATGTCGAATTCAGTGGGACGAATTTTCGTGATGAAAACTAACCGGCATTCTTTCAAAATCCCCCAATTTGTTTTATGTTTAAATATTCCACAAAATATTTGGTTGTGAAGTTATACTTAATAGGAAATTCAATTCTAATCTTATAAAGCGAATATTTACTATTGAATCCAATATATTTGGAATTATTTCTTCATTAAAATTTGTTATTTCTTTTTATTTCAACTCAATGAAGAAATATAAGAAATGTCAATAATAATCTGAAATAAGCTTCCTTTTGTTCTTACTTTGGTTTATTTATTATCTATCTAAGTAACTTCATATCAGTCATTTTAAATAAATTTCTATTTTGATTCATGCTGTTCTGATTACAATAGATTTTGGTAAGATTACTAAGCACATTATTTTTAAATCGCAATTAAATATACGGACGGAAACATTTATTTATCGAAAGTTCTGTTAAATAAAAACTTTTAATTATTAGTCTCTAATTTAACATAGACTTTTGTACGAGAAAACACTCTCATGTTTGTCTCAAGAGTGCGAAGTTCTTTTTCGATTGCAATTTTACGATTACGTACGCGAAGGGTCTCGCATGTCATCGGAAGTCGGTTTAGCTCATCCACAAGTTCTTTAAATCCTAAAAAAAAATTTTTAATATAACAATAAACGGTCATATTTAAAATATGTTAATTCCTACTTTTCTTTGCAACTTTTAAAGTTTCCAATCGCTCGGAATCTGAAAGTGCTACATGACCTTCAGGACAATCTGGATCCATTTCAGCAGTTTTCGTTGTCTCTTTTGTTGCATCGTTCGCAGATATTTCTTTTTCAGCTAGTGAATCTTTCTCCTGACTAAAATCTTCTTCGTCAGAGATATCTATAAGTTGTGCGCATTCATTTTTATGTTTTTCAGTTATTTTTTCCTTTCGCTGGGATTCATTAATGTAGTTTTTATTCGATTTCTGGATGGACGTACTTGAACTGTTCTTTAAAATAGATACTGGAGGATTTCTCTTGCTCACACTCTGTTTGCCAGGATACTCATCTAAGCTTGATATGTAATTGTTTACTATTTCATTGCGATTCGAATGATTTGTCAACCGAGACTTTGGAAGTGATTCAGCAGTATCTAAGTTATCTCTTGAGCCGATTTGTGTTCGTTGACACGATGATGTAGGTCTCGCTTTACCTGATCGAATTGAAGAAGCTGATGGAAATCGAATAATAGAATCTTTGAGAAAATATTCATCATTAGTATCAACAGTTTGAACACCAATTTCCTTCTGATCTTGAATAAACATTGTGCTCATAGCTCTGCGCAAATTATTAACTGTAGATTTAGAAGGATATGCTACCAACGAATTGGTTGAACGAGAGTTATTGTCATTCGAACTAAATTTCCGACATTTTATAGGCTTGCTAAACTTATTTAAATATTCAGTTTCTTTCCCTGAATTTCTCGTCCTTTGAATATGTTTAATCCTCATAACGTTTTCTCTTAAGAAATCTCGTTTTGGAGGAGGTTGAGTTACTGGAAAAATTCCTCGAAGTGTTTCCATAAGGCACAAATAATTTGCAAATACAGAAATATAAAGTTAAGATTTCAAGGATTTTATTCCTTCGATTTTGAAAATATAAACAAAGGTAATAAATTTCGTTTAAAAAAATTGACTAAGTTTAGACTTTCTTTAATTTAGAGTAAATAACTTATTTTCAACACTTTTTATATTATTTTTCATTATCTGTGTTTGTTTAAAACATTTTAAAACGTTTCAGAAAAGCAAAAATTACAAATTTAAAGTAACAAAAATTAATAATATTTCACGATGAACTTAACGGAAATTTTTCTAAAGCGTCGCTTTAGTGTTCAGAATTTCAAAATTTTTGTCGTTATTTTTATCATTTAAACTGAACAGTTACAATTTGGAAAATGTATGAAAGGGAGACAATGGAAACAATATTTCTTTCAAATTGAATATATTTAATTATTTGGAATTATTTCTTTACGATGCATCGCGATGATGCTGTTAACCAGTTTGTATACAATCGTTTCTTTTTCCTGTTTAATATTATTATCTCAAAGGAAATCAATTATTAGTGATATTTTATTTCCTGTTAACTTCTTATCGTGACCATTTCAAATTAAAAAGAATAGATAAGAGTTGATATTGCTGTTTGTGGAGCTATTTCATTTCACAATATTAATCTTAACAAGCAGCTTTATTACTGTTAATCACAATAAGTTACCGATAAGGAAAATCGGATACTTTTGTTGATATGATAATGGCCTCAAATAAATATGTCTTGAGACTGCCATTTTTTGCAATCTTTGAAGAACCTTTAGTGAATTCAGATCATTATTAAAACAAATAGTAAAAACAATGAAATTATTTTTAGTGTTATTTGTGTCTGCTCTGAAAGTTGTAAATTCAAAATTTCTTGAATTTAACTCGTACGAAGATTTACCTGGTATGCCAGAATGTAATCTTAATGAAGTAACTTGGCATCCACATCCTTATTCATGTACAAGGTATGTATTATTTATTACCAATTAAGATTTAGATTATATCAGATTTTTGACATTCACTATTCATACAGATATATCCTTTGCTTCTATGGAAATCCTATAGAACGATTGTGTGCTCCAAATCTTCATTTTAGCAGATTTATGCTTCATTGTACTTTTCCTCAACTTGCACTATGCGATTTCAACTATGCGTGCCCTGACGTTGACGATGAACAAAATCCTGTTTATCTTCCAGATCCTGATGATTGCTCAAAATATTTTGTTTGCTTCAGAGGAAGCCCCATTGCAAGAGATTGTGCAGAAAACCTTTGGTTTGACGTCATCTATAATTGGTGTACTATCGCAGATGAAGTCATTTGTGATAGCCGAGTTCCAAACAATCCAAATGTTCCTACAGATCCACCAACGACAACACCTGTTCCTACAGATCCACCAACAACAACACCTGCCCCTACAGATCCACCAACAACAACAACAACACCTGCCCCTACAGATCCACCACCAACAACAACAACACAAAATCCGAATACTTATGTAAAAACTAAAACGAATTTTTTTTTGTTTATATTTTGATAACATTCGTTGTCATTCTAGGATTGCCCTGTATCAGATGTGCCTACATTCCATCCACACTCACGAGACTGTCGTTTATATTTCATTTGTGTTAACGGTAATTTCTAGATAACAATAATTGCACGCTCGTATTTTTTTAATCTTTATTTCTTATTATTATAAGGTGTCGCTTTTTTGAGAGAATGTGCAAACAGAATGTGGTTTGATATTACAGAAAGGTAAGGTTTATATTAAAATAAATTCTTGTAATAAGCTAAATCTTTGTTTCTTAGGAGTTGTCTTCCTGATGATATAGCAGTATGCATATCAGGGACAATGCTGAATCCTGAGGGTTCAAGTATGGGAATTATAAACTACAGTGAACAATTTTCCTGCCCACTTCAATCAGCAATAGGAGTAAACTTTTATCCACACGATTCAAACTGCAAAAAGTATTATGCATGTCAGACAGGAATTGCTTTCCTACATGAATGTCCAGAAAATCAATTTTATGACGTTTACAGTCATGAGTGTGTTGAAGAAACAATTGCCACATGTATCAATGACTTATAATAAATGACAATAAACGAAACTTATATGTACCTCAAACTGTTTTTTTTTTAAACTAGATATCTACATATATTCATAAAAGCTCCTCGTAAAACATTTCAATTTTTGTAAACATTTTGATCTAAATTTTAATCTTAGCTTTGATTTTAAAATTACGGGGAATTTCATAAAGTGATATGAGGATTTTTATTCGTAACATTAAATCGTTTTGTGAATCATTCGTTTTTTCTAAAGATCATATTTTTTAAATAAATTCATGTAAGCTAAATTTGATTTTTGGAATGTGCTACGAACGTCAACAGACATCTTTTGTAGTACTACGAAATTTCAGATAAATCCCGTAGCAAGCTTAAATGAGCTTTATGTTTATCGTAACATTGAATCGTAGATAAATATATGAAAAATGATGTGCTGAATTTGTTGGTCAATTTTATCTCATACCGACGATTTCTGAAGATTCGTTGTATGTAGCATTAAACTTATAACAATGTATTGAAATACTTAATACTCACGAAGATATATGTATAACTAAAATTGGAACATAAAGAGAAGATTAGCATGACCCCAGCACAAGGATGACACGCAAAATCGTGAAGTGTTCCACATTTTTTTGTAAATTTTCCAAAATAAATTTAAGAAGATTTGCTTTTTCCTGTATGCTTAAAAATAATCATTAAAATATCCATAAATGCATAAACATCAATTTACATTTTTAAAACATTTTATTTTTCTTCAATTCTGAATAAGATTTAACTTTTATTCAGACAAATAATTTGTTTAAGAACAAACGCAAGTTCCGTCTTCACAATTACCACTTGATGAGCCTTGATAAATACAATATCGGTTGCACAAATAACCTCCACGTGGTCCCCATGGAGTTGTTCGACAAATGACACGTGGTAGGCCTGAGTTAAAAAAAACTGACGAAGCACGGAAAAATGTTTAAAAGGTTTTCCAATTCACTGTATGTATCTATGTGAATATCCAACAATTTGCCACGTACAAGAAAATTATATTATCTAAAATATTTTCAGCATAAACTCACATGGTTTGGGATTACATTTGACATGGACGCTCAAAACTATTTCAAAAAATCATTCCAAATATAATCAGAAAGAAAAAATTAAATATTTCAATAAATTACCAATAATGAGAGTGACGATGAAAAATATGAACTTCATTATATTTCTTGAACTGATCGCAACTTTTCAAACTTTAAAACTGATGACAATGATGAAAATTGATACTACCTATTTATATTTTTGTTGCATAATAAATATTTAATACATAAACGAGAAAAAGAGGTGGATGAGCAATTAGAGCGTCTGTATTTAATTCGTTACTTTTTTTGCGATGAAAGTATTGAAAAGGTATTGCGTTTTTATTCTTCGAATTTTTCATATCAGTCAATAAAAGAAGTCTAAATTTAAACAAAAACAGATGGCAAAAGTATAAAACTTAAACTGTATGATATCATTTAATAATAATATAAAATTAACAATTATTTGGGGTTTCATAAATCTATTCACCGAATTTAACAAAAAAATTTGCTCTGGTTTTAAATCATCTTCAATGACAATTTTGGTGCTTATGTTTATACTAACGATCTAAATCATAAGCCCGATTTTAATCGACCTAAGCAACGACCCTTTCTTTTGTTGAAGTTTATTCCATGAGTTAGATTGATGTAGTTGATTATGATAAAGCACTTAGATGCCTGAAACATTTATTTACTTTTAGCGACATTAAGAGAAAATTGCTGCAATGAAACTGTAAATGAAAGCTTAAGTATTTGAGGAGCTTTTATACATTTGAAGCTCTCGACGATAAACACGAATGAAAAAGCTCTAGCAAAGAAATAATTGAAGTAACAATTTTATTTTCGCAATTTTCAACTTCTACCATTTTTTCCAACCACTAAGGTTGGCAATATTTGCGAACAAAAGGCTCATATTTACAAAATCATTTCCCTCCATAAGAACTCTATTTTTGTATTTTCGACTTTAATTGTTTCAATTCAAATTGCCACAATTGGTAAAGGCAAGCATATCAAAAAACGAAGCACGTCTTTTATTTTCCAAAATGAGAAGCAATTGACAATTGCCACCAACTGTGAATTAAATAATGTGCAAAATGATTCCAATGAGTAATAATTATTGAAGTTGCGTTTATGAAATTCATAATCTTCAAAACAAAAGAAAAAGAACAAAAATTAATATGTGACAAAAGAATCATCAGATTTTATTTTATTATTTATATTTTTTAAATTTCTTAGCAAAAATACAAAACAAGGATTACGCTGCTTTTACTTTTTTTAAAGGTAAAAAAAAGACCGAGATATCATACATTTCCAAAATTTTTAAGTAGGATATTTTAGGTAGCTCATTATTATGCTGTTTTATGCTAGGTAGCTTTATTTATTTAAACATACATGTTGCAACATGCAATCTCAATGATAAAATGTAATGATTTATGATGAGATTTCTCTATGATCAAAACCATCTTTTGATAGTTTTCCTATTAAGTGAAAAAAGTTTTAAATATTATTTAATTCTGTAGCTTTCTTTTAATTCTGCTTAAAGGGATTTAATCCTTTATGATCTTCTTCACATGAAAATTAGTTCTTTAATGCCTTCAACAATGAACACCTTTGTAAGATTGTTAAATTAATCCTTCTATAGGAGTTTGCAAAACAATTCAACAGGTTTTTATTTTTCAGTTTGACAAATTATTATAAAATCCCTAATCAGATTCTACTCATATAATAAACACAAAAACATTTCAAATTAAAATAAAAAAATTAAGATCACAATTCAAATTAAAGTACATAAATATGTCGAAGTTCGATAATGCACAGGTTTCAATCAAAAAAATAGAAAATTAAGAAATGGGAGAATTAAACTTAAATAAACTTTTTTTTTCAGAAGGAAATAAAATCATTTCATAATTATTACGAATAATTTTTGAATCATGAAGCTCGAAATTGTGATGGTAAACTTTATTCTGCTTCTTGTTTTATCTTTCCTGAAAGAAGCTTTATCGGGATTTTCTTTGTTATGATTTCCTGTGTTGAGTTCTCTTTCTGTACCGCAAAAGGGATTGTAATAGATTGCATTCCATCTAAATTAGGAAATAAAATAAAAGATGTCAAAAAGGATTTAGGTGAGAAAAATGTCTCTGAATACCGACCATCATCAATAGACACTTGAAGTTGTCCAGATTGTATCCAACTTTGGAGTAAGTTTTGAGGTAGATTTGATAAACTTTCCAACAACAGTTTTTGATTGTCTAACATCTTCTCATTAATTTTTTGATTCTTTGTTTGAATCAGCAATTGCTGCGCATTATCTTCATTCCCGTTTTTTTGATATATTGTCACAGGGTTTGACGTTTGTAACTGCAATTTCAGATGATTTGGTTGGTTGGGAACTGCAAAATTCTCATCATTCGACTCGCAATTTGATTCACAGCAAGAATCATCTGTTGATGTAATGTCATCCTGAAACGAAAGCTGATGATTAAGTTTTAGAAATTGTTTCCACAAAATTATTTCTACAAATTAATGGATACTTTATAATTTGTATGCTATTAATTTGTTTGTTATACTCATATTGTTTAAGATATTTTATTTGAGTCAGAGAATGTGCACATATTTATTAAATTCCGTAACAATTTTCTTTTAAAAGTTCTTCCCTTTTTCAATCGCAAACATCTTGTTTTTATTGAATCTTTAAATATTGCTGAATATGGTCGAGAGTAACTTCAACATTTTTTTTCCTTTCCGTGCAATACTTGGTGAGTTTTTTTTTATTCTTTACGTTGCAGTTATCGTAAGAAGTTTGCACAGAACCTTGAGTTGTATAGCCATGCAGTCTCGATTTGTTAAACCTTCCAACGACCACCTTTTACTCTCAAAAACAGGTGATGATCGAAATCGATATTCGGATTTCTTATTCGGATTGAAGGAATTATCAAGTATCATGTTACCACTACCTACTTATTATGCTACTAAAATTGCTTCAAAAATTCTAGAATGATGATAATTTACTTTATAAGATTTTTTAATTAAAAGTTAAAACTGATGAATAATTTTTATCTCAATGTCTTAAAAAGGAAATGTAAAGCACCGCTTCGAGCAAAGGACAAATGAACATTCAGATTTTCGATTTGCATATAAAAGCCGCACAAGGAACAAAAATAAAATGACAATAAAATTCTGTAATTATGCGAATTGAAACAGTGTTTGCGTTTTCAATTGTGTCATTGTTCTCTTTTGAGAAAAAAGGTTCATTCTTTCTGTTTCTTTTCGATTGTGTTGTAGTCTTTCTTATCTTAAACAATTTCTTATTCAGATTTTATTTCACACTGAAAAATTCTTCTATTTATATTTTGATTGTAAAATCTTGAAAATGTTTCGACGATATTGATATTACTTTCGTATATATCACTAATGTTTTTGCTAAATCTATTATAATTAGGTATAAAAAATTGTTCTTCTAAAAATTATGAGTGCAAAATGTAAAAAATTATAAAATGACTCTCTTGATATCTATTTTATGTTATAATTTTTTCTATATTTAATTCGTTTACATTCTAAATGTATTCTCATATTGTCTTTTTAAAATTCTTGCTTAGTATTCGTATTGGTAGATTTACAGCTCTCCGATTGGTCAGTTTTTCAAAATAATAAAACTTATTAAGTAGAACGATTACCTTCGTTCTTTCACAACATAGAATTTTTAACATTAAAGTTAAGATATTTTTTAAGATTAATTCTCTCTCAAATTTCATATATTTGAACCATATTCGATTATAAATTATTCATGAATAAATTTGATCATGTTTTATTGTATCAGAGAATAAGAAAAGCTTTCAGAAAAGCTTTCAGAAAAGCTTTCATAAAATTGAGAGTTAAAAGTTTGCTCTCTTCTTGATATTTCTCTCTTTTTTCAACTTGGCTCTTGATGATTCAGGTTTTTCTTCACCGTTTTTTTGAGATTTTAACATTTAACAAGTTTTTTCAACATTTGCGTTTCTGATTTCGTTTTGTTTGGTTTCCTTCAGTTTATCTTCATTTTTTATTTTTAATATTCGCGAGTGTGCTAGGAATTCTTAAGTGTAACTTTAATTTCTTTATGAAACAAAATATTTATGATTAAAGAAAGTTGTTCAAAGTGAACCTTTTCAAAATTTTCTGTCAGCATTTGATCACATCTTTTTGAACCAGCAAAAATTAACAGAAATAGCTACAGGTGGTTAGGTTTTCTTGCGAGTTATTTTTTTCATCGGTAGTATATAATAGAAATTTTAATTTAATAAGGAACCAAAAATTGTTAAACAAATTGTGATCGCGAAATTCAAGATAATCATGTAATACGATTAAAAAAATTCAGTATATAATCGAAGTTCGATTTAAGAACAATTGAATTTATAATGAATAACATTACAACATTAGTGAATGAAAAAACAACCACATGCTGGTGTCACTCTTCGTTTTTATAAGAAATTCTTATTTTTTTTTAATTCTCTTAAAGCAAATTACAATTTCATTAGTTAATGATTAGTTTTCAGAAGAAAAATTTGAAAAAAGTACATTTATAAATACAAAAAAGCTCCAATTTAATTCCACCTGCGCAGCATCCGATATGCTTCGTTTTATTGAATTTTTTTTCTCTTTCATCGTTCTTGTTCAAAGTTAAAATATAAATTGTAAAGAAAAAAGAGAATAAAGAGGAAAAAAACTTGTTGCGTGTTTAAATGATGAACGCGACAGAGCAGATCTTTTGTGAGCAATCGGTTGTTGTTCATTGATTTTATTTCAGTAGCATTAAATTTGTTTATGTTATTCTTATTATTACTCACTTAAGCATTTTCAATTGCTCGTTATCAGTAGAATGCATTTGTTCTTTAAGAATATAAAACTGAGTTACTGACTATCTTAAACAACATCTTTTTGAATTTTATTTTATCTTCAACAGGCTATCAATTATCAAATTTATTGAACTCTATTTAATGCCGCATCAACATTGTGTAAGTATTGAACCATCTCTAGATAATACGGCTCATCAGTTGCAATTGACATCAAGAAAATCAACCTCAACCAGATTACTCATGACTTTTTTTTATTTTATTACAAAGTTGTAAAAATATTAACAATAAAATTTAGTGTTTTTTGTTTCGCTTGTGTTGTCTTTTTTTTCATGAAAATACATATTAAGAACATCCCACAATGTTATCAATTTGGAACTTAAATATTAGCGTTAAAGATCTAGAATAATTTATAATCTTAAAATATTTTTAATTATTGCTTTTGACTAGGTCTGTCTTTTGAAAAGTTGATTAGTAAATTGGTAATTAATCTGGCTATTTGTTACCCAATAAGGAGATCTTATTTTGAAAACCCCCGCAAATTGAAATTGTGTTGGATGATAGTAGAAACTGAATAAGAAATAGATGAGTAATGAACAAAATGTATCTTAAAATGATTATAGATTTCTATCCGTTTTATTTTTCATCTTTTTCAATTCTTCAACTTTTCCAAATTAATCAATTTTTCGTCAAAAAAATACTTTTCTTAGATCAATATCTGTTCCAACCTCGTAGTTCCATCGATTTCTTTTGTGCAATTCATTCTCAAATAATAAAAACAAGAAGTTAGTAAGTACTACACATATGAAATTGATTCGATGAAATAAGTGACTTAACTTTAAAAAAAAATTATTATTTTTTTCTGATTGTTGCTCTTAAAGAAAATATATTGACAAAAAATTGTTTATGACACTTTTATTGGACAATTCTTTTAACTATTCGCAAACAAATCTAAAAGAAAAACTATTTAAATACATAATTGAGTGTTTCAATTTAATGATTATTTTTTTCTTTAAATAATGCTTGTTTACAACCAACTTACTGATCAATTGTACGAGTTAACCAGTGTTCAACAACTTATGATCTAATAAAGATGCTTTTCAATTTTCTTAACATAAATTACTGGATGTAAGTTTCATTGCTCAGTTTATTGAAGTTCTTTTTTACTTAAAGTTTATATAATTCATAAATTAAATCGTAAATAAATGTTAAAAATGAAAAAAATTAATATTTTTTATTGAATCTTTGCACTTTTGTTTCTGTCGAGACTCATTTTTATCAAACGAAATAGTAATGCTTTCATGAAGATTCTCACAATCTTAACAATAAATTAATGCTCTTTCATATCTCCTAACATGACACAAATATTTAAATAATTAAGAGGATTTTTCATAATAACCAATTTTCTGTATTCAATTTCTTTCAATAAACCTTTTTCTGGATTGATCAACATAATTATTCGATCAATTATAAGGCACATTTTTGATATTTTCAAATTTCTTTTCTTATCACATTTTTATTTATAACGGAATAAAATGTGTTTTATAATCTTTACTCATCAAAATATCTTAATCATCGATGAGATTGTGATTGACCGGTAATGGATGCTGCAGTTGCTGCTAAGCTATGATAATTTTGCGTTGTAGCACTTTGTAAATTTTGATTTTCATAAAAACTTTGCTGAGGAAAATGGGGAGAAGGAAAATGATGCTGTGGCGGAGAAAAGTGAGGGGAAAAATGATGACTAGGTTGAGGCGAATGGGAAAAATGTTGAGCATGGGGTAAATTGTACAGATGACTCGTATTTTGAGGTAAATTTTGATGAGAATTAAAAATTAATTGTCTTACTTTTTCCTTATCGCCAGGATTATCCCCGATTTCTGATATGCTATAATTTAATTCAGTTTCCTCAAAACCTGTTGCTGACATTCGCTGATCACTTGTTGGAGCTGCAGCAGGCACATCTGGTGAATTAAGACATGTTTGAATTAAAGTTTTTCCTGCTTCTGATGTTATCATTGGCTGAAGTTTTCGAGTTGCAAAAGTGTAAACATGACCAGTTTCTGAGGCGACAAGCAACATCACCTGAGTTCCAGTGAGAGTTGAAAGCTCGTAAGCCTATGAAAAAGGAAAAACATCATTAATTATTTGCATTTTCATTTAGACAAATTACAGAATTTTCATATTTGATTAAATGATTACTCAAAAATGTCAATTTTTCTAAAGAAAAAAACCAACACGTTTCCATAAGTTTCCTAAGTTCAATGAATTCTGAATTCTCCTATGAGTTTATGAAAAATAATGAAGAAGTTTCGTGTGAATATTTCTGTGCCATATTCTTCACATAAAATGATGAATGAGTCAATGAGTTTCAATTACGTTATAACAACCGGAAAACCGACCATTTGACCTGATCTATTGATGAATAGGCAAGAGTAATTATGAAAAATGTGCACTTCATTTCATAGATTTATATTTTCATTGAATAATTTGGCTTCAATTATTTATAACTCATTAGAAACGGAATTTATCATTTTCAACATCAAATCTAATGCAGAAAAAACATTTCAAAATCCACCTTCTCTAATGTTATTTTTTTAGTTTCTTTATAAATAAAAACAGATTTAAACAAACATGGGCATTCATGATAATAAATCAGTCGTACTATTGATCGGTTTCGGGTCATCGGATAATGTTCCATCGTTTTCAAATTTATTTCCCAAAAATATATCCATTTCCATCATTTTCACTCACCTCCGTCAATTCAAAAGTCAATAAAACATTTTTTTTAAACAAACATTCAAAAAAGGAACTTCGAACTATTCGTAAATCACCGTCGTATATTACCAATGTCTAATATTTCTTATACATTTTCTAACAGATGTCATCAAAGAGTGGGTAATAAAATGAGTTGATATGCAATCATACAATCTTACTTTGGATAAATTCCTATTTGATTTTTTTGCTTATGCAATTCTTTAAGCCACATGAAAATCTAAAATCTTAAAACTTAGATGAATGTAAATTTTAATTGATCTAAGGAAAAATCTTCTCAGGTTTCCTTGAAACTTATCTCTAAGTGTAAGACAAAGTTGAGCTGCTATGTAATAAATTTTTGAAAAAAACAATATAAATCATCAGAAGGTGGGCAAAGAAAAATTTCAAAGCAATTATTATTATCCTAATTGATCTCTAACTTCTCTTCTATAGTTTCGCGAAGGAAAAAAAACTTTTCGGTCAACGAAAACAATCTTTTTAAATGAGTTCTCTTCATTTTTTGAAGTTTCAAACTTTTTTTTATTCAAGCTGGCAGTAAAAACCCAGCCTGTGACACCTACACTTTGATTACGAACGATTCGTTGGTTTCTTTTGTTGGCTCGCTACGCGGCATTTCTGCTTTATTCGAAATGAAAAAACAAAATTCATTCATAAATATCTCGCTGTTGGCATTGTTTGGGAGCCTCATTCATGAAATTTGAATCCCAACCTTCTCCGATATAACAAATTATGTACAATACATCTCGTGTATGCAAAACGTCGAAATCAATTTTTTTATCACAAGAAATTTGAATATTTACACAGAAAATCATGCGGAACAAAAGTATTTAAAGAAATTGACCATTTGGCGCCGAAAAAAACACAAATTTGTTGAGTTATCGCTCACTCATTTTCTCTTTATGCCTTTCAGGTTTATGTCGGTTTTAAATCAATTACAAAATCTGACACACACACCATTGAATTGATCAGATTTCGGAAGCTTCAGCACGCTTACGTTGTTGTTATAATGTTTAACATTGAGGATCATCAACATTCTCTATTTAAGAATATCTTTTGTTGTTGAAACAGACACCAATTTTTTTCGTTCTCAAAGATTTTCTCGCATTTGTTTAATGTTTAGTATTACCTTTTCATCCCGAATTAATGTTGATAGAATTAAATTGGAGAATGGAAGAACAGTCTTCAAAGTTGGGAATATCAAATTGAAATGATATTTCAAAAATTTTATGTTTACAACTTAATACAAATTATGATTGCACTTTAAAATATTAAATATTTTAAGAACTTTAGGAATATGTGAAGAAAATCTAAATTTAAATAAAAATTTTGAATTAAGAAATTCATCTCCATAAACAACTAACAAAAACGATCGGGACATTTTTCAGTTAACTTTTACATGCATTATTATTTCTCAATCATTTGTAAATTTTAACCAGAAGATAGTAAAAAATGTTTTGATTAAATTTATTTAACGCACGTTTTAAAAATCTTCAATTCATGTATTTTTGAATTTATGTGTGAAATGTTAGAAATTTACATGAATGAACCAGACCGATGCATCGCGATGATAAAATAAGTCGAAAGGAATTAATCAAATTCGGAATTCTCACACATTTATATGAAAAAAATTACTCACTTTCTTCATAATGCCAGTTTTTCTTTTAGAAAATGTGGTGTACCGCCTTAACTTATTGTCTATATATTCCATTTTTATTTTAACACGACCTTTGGTTTTCTTGCCATTCGATAAACTTTTAGCGCCGGCTTTTGGTTGTGAAGGTGCGGGGGTAGTTGATGATGATCCTGCACCAGTAGTAGTTGCTGTTGTGATATTTGTTCCAGAATAAGATTCATTATTGAAGCCATCATAAGTTCCTTGTTGTATTGCACCATCATCAATCTTCTTATTGCCATCATATTTATCGAACTTTTTCTCTCTATCAGTTTCATTTTTATCGTTATGATAGTTTTGATGGTGACGCTTCAGATAATTTTTATTGCTTATTGTTAAATTATCAGCTGTGTAAAATTGTTGGTTTTGAAGTGGACGTTGAGGAAAATTTTGTTGAAAGATTTCCGTAGAATTTTGCTGAAGATAACTGTTAAGATATCGTGATGGCGTCGTTGGTGAATTTTCTCTTGGAGGATCCATAGCTAAATTTTAATTATATTTGTTGTATGAATTATAAAAAAAGATTCCGTGTTTTCCTCTCCTCGTCTTTCACAACCTGATACGTACCCACTTGTGATGTGTGTAATTTTAGACTTTTTTCTCTACTTGTTTTTTGACGACGGCATAACACGGTCGCTACAAATCTTTTTTCAGCTCCTTATGGTCACTTTTCCTTATGTATTTTTCTTCAAGTCTATTTCGAGCAGAGAACACTGATTTTCTATTATCGTTTTTCCAATATTTTTGATGATTCTGCTTTCCCAACATTCAACTAGGTAGTACTAATAACGCAATGAATTGTTTTATGTAGATATTCCTTGTATAAGTTCTATGATCACTTCATTTAGTACATCGAAATGTCACAAATAATTTTACTCACAGGAAAAACAAAGATTATGAAACTCAACACACTCTTTTACAGTTTTTCACCGTGCCGATTCACGATCGCCGTTTTGAGCACATTTTTTCTATTTTTAAACATTAATTTTCATGGGAAATGGGAAATATCTTGTGTTCACCCATTCAATCTAAAGCTATTTTTGTTTCTCGGAAAATTCTTGAGAACTTTAACTAAGTCATACTTCGTTTTTATTTTTTCTCTTTTAATAACACTTCTTTGTCTTTAATATTGCACTTGTTGATTCTATTAATCATTTACTGTTGATTTTCCGATCTTAATTTGTTTTAATTCATTTTAAGTTTCTTTTATTAAATAACTCTTCCTTTTTTGTCTCCGAATTCTATCAATCAATATATTTAGAGCTCTAATTGAGAATGATTGAAAATTACAGAAGAAATTTTAAAACAGCTGAGCAATTATTTTTTTGATGAAGTGAACAAAAAAATAATTGAATTTGATCAGTCGATCTCGTAGAAACACAAAGAGCGATTTGGCCGATCTACACAACCACGTTAGCGTTTTCCGTTGTTGCGTATTGAAATGTAGAAAAAATATAAATTTTCATTCCGCAAAGCATGAGATGAGATTTTTTTGATTTGCTTCTTTTCTTGCAACTTAGTTATATTTTCCGCTGTTCTCTCAGATTTCTCTCACTATTCTCTTGCTGCCACGCAATTGCTCGCCGCTCTTTCGAAACAAAAGCTCTAAACAAGGGGTCGACAAACAAAAAAACTAGTGGGAAAAGCATTTTTTTTGCAGGGAAGCATCAAAAGGAGCTACGGTAAAGTTCCAAGAATAGCAAGCAAATTCTTGGAAAATGAAAAATTTTTGGAAATGCACTAAAGATTATTTAAAGCACCATCTGACAAGAGCAGAAAAAGGCACTATGTTGGCCAACCCCTTGACTCGATACTTCAACTCATACAAAAATATATGTTTGCACTCCCATTAGGTATCTGTTTTCATCGTTTAAAAAGAATTTCTTTTCTATCCTAAAAGATTTCATTGATGTCTTCAACAGAGGAAAATTAATAAAAGAAATTTGACTTTTTGATATGAAATAAAATGAACTAAAATTAAAGCTTTCATAATCATAAATTATGTAGATAAATCAGCACTGATAATATTCAAAACCATGTATACTTACATGATTCAAAAATGTAAGATAAATTGAATCTTCAAATAAATATTTAACTAAAGGGTATCTGCCGAGCATTAAATTAAATTAAAAACATGTTGGTATCTACCTACAAAGTTTAAAACCGGAAGAAAGCTACACTTTCATACATATTTTCATTGGAAATGTTATTTTTAGAATTATTCTTTTATGAATCTATTTAAATATTAATATTATATTTTATTATCTTGCATAATAATTAATGGACTTCTTAAGTATTTTTGAATGTCTAAAAAATAGAAATCGTCTGCTTTTTAAGTATCTAGTAAAAAATTTGCAAGTCGCATTTTCACGTCATTTCTAAACAAAAGTAACACTGATCACCGTTTCTTGACTTCACGTTCAATAATATTAATTTTATTACCATTTTGCTTTAAAATTTCCGTTTTTGGTAACAGCTGAAGTTCTTAAAATGGTTGTAGGCGTGCATTTATATTATATTCGCTCCGACTTTGAAACTGAAGAAATTAATAATGTTAAAGCTTAATTGAGTAAACTGTAAATATGAAGCAAATTGTGATATCAAAGGAAATCTTTAATTTTTGTAAATAATCAGTTCTAATAATTAGCAAAGCAACATCAATGATATCTGATAGGAAATAAAGTTTGCAAGACGATCATTAGTTAATTCATATAGAAATCACGCCAATAATAATGAGATTCATTTTTTTTCCTACAAAAATATTGTTGAAGCATTGTTGTTGAAATATTGTCAAGCATTATTGAAAATGCAATTTATTAATAGTTTCCATTTCCTGATATTCGAAAAAAAATTAGTGATGAAAAGCCGATCATGATATTAGAAGTCAAGCCTCGTGCTCATCATTATGTATGCAATTTATGTATCGACGACGTTATTGAAAAAAAGCAGCACTTAATTTAATGGATAATGGGAGATTAAAGTTCTATATTTTTGAAAGCCCACAAAGCAGGAAGCACACGTTTCTTTTTCCTGTTCTTTTGATGAACGCGTTAAGAAATTTTTATTCTAACGGAATCGATTGCTAATTGTGCAAAGAATTGTATGATTTACGTTAAATTTTATTGGTTGATTGTTACTTGAATTATTGATATCGAATAGAAACAATTGATTATGGTATTGAGATTGTTTATTCACCTATGTTATATTTGCTCATTATATACTAAAACAAAGCTATTTAGTTATTTTAATTTTGATTCATCAACAAAATATCTCCCTGGAAAAATTGGGAGTAAATTTTAAGCATCTAAAGAAAATCAACAATAAATAATAATTCACATGTGTATATTCAATTGTTATCACTATTTATAACACCGTGAAATTTTAATCAAACGATGATTCATTAAATTCAGAAACTCATTATGAAACTATTTTAGGAATATTTACGAACCGATTCACAAAAATAATCACTTCAGTGAAAAATAACCTGAGTGAAATTACTTTACGCAACAATGATATGTCTTTAAATAATAAGATCTCATATTGTAAATTTATTAAATTATGAATATAATCATGAAATTCATAATTTTTTAACAAAAAAATAAGAATAAAATACAATTTATTCAATTTTTGTAGCCATTCAAACATTCATTATTGACGAGGATTGTTCTCAGAATCGGCTGAAAAAATACAAATATTTAACCGTTAAATGAAATAAGAAAAGCTGTGTGCTATTAATAAATAATAATAACATCTGAATATATAACACAATAATAGTTCTTCCAAATATTTTGGGAACCATATTCGACTACCTTATGATAGTTTCATTACTTAGTGTTTCAATTCCACGCTCGTTAGATAACATGTAACATATCCTTAGGTAAATATTTCGTATGCAT